GAGGTAACTAGATTGAGGAATTGACAAATACGAGTTGCATATGTTTTAGCTTAAGTTATACGTTATGTGTGAGTTTGAATGTTTGAATACGCTGCTGTCTGCCGAGAGTTCAATGTCTGAATAATCACAAACTCGGCATTTATTACATGAGCCAGGTCAAATCCACAGGATTTCAGCATTTTAGCATAAATTCATAAAATAAAATCAAGATTTTATATATAGATAGTATCGATTTGTATAGGTAATATTTCTGTTCATGGTATCAATTTGTGTAGGCGAGCGGGGGTGCGGAGCGACCTCGCTACGCCACTGTGTGTAGGTAATATTTCTGTTGATGGTATCAATTTGTGTAGGTAATATTTCTGCTCGTGGTGTCAATTTGTGTATGTAGTATTTCTGTTGATGTTATAAATTTGTGTAGGCAATATTTCTGTTTGTGTTATCAATTTGTGTAGGTCAGGGGTCGGCAACCTGCGGCTTGCGAGCCGCATGCGGCTCTTTTGATATCAAGATGCGGCTCTCCAGCTCATTGCGCAAATACTAATAATCTTAATAAAAAAAAAATATTTGTAATAAAAAATTTTTAGTGGCTCTTTAAAACCAGGGAAATTTTGAAAATTGTAACTTTTGGCTCTTCTGCTTCAAAAGGTTGCCGACCCCTGGTGTAGGTAATATTTCTGTTCGTGGTGTCAAATTCTATTTTACCTGACCAGTGATGTTACTTAACATCTGATTTCTCCTGGTATCCATGTTTGATTAACTGATAGGGTTCTAAATCAACCAAGATGTGGTTATGTGATTAAATCAGATCGACGGACTGAAGTACTGGACATGACGCTTGATATATCAATGATATTGGTGAAAGCTACAGAAAGCCAAAATGTAGTCACGTAACTGCAACCTATCCCACACTCGCAAAAAAAAAGTAATAAATATTGCATTACTTTTCATTACTAGTCTCACTCTCCCCTATATTATATGGATGGGTGACCCCAATGGGGTTTTATTTATTATTTTAATAACATTAACAACATTTTTTTTAAAGAATGGACAATATATGGGTGGAGGAGTCAACGCAGCTCCACACTAGTGTACGTCTAGAATACCAGATCGTGAAATGGACAGACAGACGGGGTTAAACGAGGTCACCTCACTCAATACATGTCGTGCCAGATCAAACGGAATGCTGGGATATGGGAATAGATTTAAAGGCCAGAAACAGACTGAAACAGCCTGTTTGTTTTGACGTGAATGCTAGAGTCAAATTCTCCGGCTGTATGCGAAAAAATCGAAAAATAAATTAAGCAAATGTGCACAATATAGACAGTTAATTGGATATGTGCTCTTTGATTCTGGTGAGAAGAGGTGTTACAGGAGTGTGGAGGGGTGAGTGTTGTATCTGAAGAGTTCTCTCCGCCTGATAGGGGTTCGTGGGAGGACGGCATGGGGCGATGGAAGTGCTGATCAAAGTAAAGGGGGACAATTTAGTGGCTGTGTGTGTCGGGGTTAGTTTATGATGATTTATTTTGAATATATGATTTCGATTCAAGGATCACTGTATTTTTTTTCTTTATTTGAAGTTATTTTCATTTTTTTTTTAAATTGATTTTAATGTCACATTAAGGTTTAGGTTTCTTTACGGGAGTTTATTATTTAAATCAACTACGTTAACATTTTAAAATAATTATTTATAAAAATTAAAAAAAAAAACTAAAGCAACCATTTGTAGTTTGTAAAATGGTTTAAGTAAGAATCTCTGTCCTTAGTTTCTTGATGTATAAGTGTAGAGTTATGGACAGTGTTCCCTCTAAGCCTCGCGGCTGCGCGGCCGCGCAGCACTTACAAATATGCCGCGCAGACATTTTCTGATGCCGCGCACAGATTATCAGAACGTCGGGCAAGCCTGATTCACTAAAAAAAATTGTGGTCAGTGGCTTGAATGAAGCGACATTTTTAGTGCCTGTTTTGTTAAACGAACAGTCTTTGTGTTTTGGGGTATAAACATTGACTGGGGGAGGGGGTGACCTCGGTTGTCATACCACAGGTTTAGTTAATGGCAACTCTCAACTGAGCGGGGCGGGTACCGATGGGATGTCTGCGTGACACTCCCTCTGCTTGATTTAATGGTTTACCCCAAAACTGACCTAATACCTGAAAGGGACTGTGGCTACTAGCTGACCATGCAAGGTTTTATTTTCTATAGCCACTGCCCCTCCCCATCTACCAACCCCCACCCATCACCTTGATACTATGACGGTTTACCCAAGTCAGATGCAAAATTTACTTTACTAAAGGTGGATGTGTTTTTGCTGTTTGGTTTAAGGATTCATATACTATATATCCAATTCTTGGGATTATTACGTGCACCAGGATCGAACTGTTTCAGTGTTCACAGACTGGTTTGGTAAATAAGGAATAAAAGTTTACTACTCTGTGCTTTTTGAACATATTGAAAAGTAAAATGTGTGTAACAAGTAAAACAATGCAGCAAAAAAAAAAGCGAGAAATTCGTTTAAACTGGAATGGCTCAAAGTTAAAGTGACAACCGATACGCAAATTTCTAATAATGTTTCGGTTGAATTAGGAAGCATCTGAAGTGTAAGTTCTGTGCTGCTATTACTTGAAACTAACACTGAGCGAGAAGAACGAGTTGAACAAAATGAGCGCCAGCGGTCAAACTAGGATCAAGTTCGAATCCTAATGGATAATGTTCTTCTCGCCATTAGGATGCACGCCTCGATGCTGTCGGTACAACTGATTCATAACAACATGGGGAAGTATGTTTCTATATCAGACAGTTGGCGAAGTAAGAATTACGCCTTCGAGTTTGTTGAACCAATCAACGAGGTGGTTGTAAAGAACACACTGACAGAACTTCGAGTAGCATCGTTCCACACGCTTATAGTTGATGAAAGTACTGACATAACTGTACATAAAATGCTAATCCTTTATTTTAAATTTCGTTCAGTCAATTCTTTATTCTACAAAACCGTTTTTGGTGGAATAATTCAGCTTACCGCATGTGATACCTCAGCTCTGGAGGCAGCAATAACACAGTACTACACTGAACATCAACTTGAAATGAAACTGCATGGTAATGATAACATCAGACGGGGCATCGGTTATGTTAGGCCGTAGGAAGGGATTAGCTGCTTTATTGAAGACTAAGGTTCCCCATCTTGTTGAACAGCACTGAGTTCGATCTTCAGTTAAAAAGGGCGCACTTGAAGAATTGGCCAAGGTGCATGATATGGATGTAATTTCTTTTCGACCAGTTTATAAAGTTCGTTGGTTGGAACGTCATTTTGCTGTCAGTGCTTTTGTTAGAAATATTGATGCTTTAGCTGCTTACTGTGAAGAACAAGTCCAAGACTACAATGATCCTGTTTGTTGTTATGTTTTGAAATCATTAAAAGATCCCCTGTATCAAATTGCGCTTTATACCGTTAATGATGTATTAACTGAATTAGCTAATCTATCAATGTTGTTGCAGCGAAATAATTTATCATCTATTGAAGCACATCAATTTTGCATATCTAAAATACGCAAATTAGAAGCACAATACCTGAGTGTTGATGTTTATTGGAATGATAAAGCAAAGAAAATTTTGAATGAAAACATAGGAATCGACACAAAACAAATTACACAGTTTATACGATCGGTCTGCGATCATTTAAATGTTAGGTTTCCAGGAGAGGAACTGCAGTTTTCGTCAGCTTTTGATCCTACTGGTTTTAGAAATTGCGCATTTGAGTCTGGCGTCAAAGATATCAAAGAACTGTGCGTAAAGTACAAAGACGTGTTACAAACAACAAATGAAGAGTCAATTATCACGCAATAAATGACTTCAAACTTCAGATCAATGAAAACTCAAATCAGGTTCAGTAAATTCACTAACTGAAAACGCAGGAGTTGCTTTAAATGATGAACAATTTAGCTCATTGGCAAAGTTAATTGACATAATATGCTGCACTTTTCAAGTATCCAGCGCTGATTGCGAGCGAGGTTTTAGTCTTATGAACAGCATTAAAGTACAAGCACGAAATAGACTTGAAGCCACACATTTGGATATATCTAAATGCTGGAGAGGATGTGGATTTAAACAAATCGTATAAGGTATGCAAGCAAGGCAAGGTTAGACGCGAGAAATTGCAATAAATGCCACTGAAAGGTTAGCTAATTTTGTTTTTAAGTCAGCTTTTTAAAATGGTTTACATGTTAAACTGTTGTATTTGTAATACCGTTATGGTATTAACATTTTTAACATACGATTGCATTACACTAACATAGTACGTCGACCATATAACCTGTTGTCTAAGTATAACTCTAAAAGTTTCTGTTGTGTATTTTATTTTATTTAGATGGGATTTGTATCTTCTTTTAATTGCATACGTTTCATTAGTCCTACACATTATACTATTAATTTATCAAAATGCATGCCTTCATTACTCTGCTTAATTGCAAGCTTAAACATACATATTAACTTGCCCAAGTCATTTTTAGCACCGCGCACACAACATATTTTTTGCACACACACTCTTGGTCCTTAGAGGGAACATTGGTTATGGATAGTATAGATAGCATGGCTGTTGTTGAACACATTGTTTATTCACCACTCTTTAGGTTTATAGGGGATTATCCAGTCAGATTTATTTGCTCACTGAAGTATAACTGAAATTTAAGCTCCGATAATCTAAAGATCTTAACCTTGTATCAACCATGCTCAGCTCTTCAGGTGTGAAATCAAGCATAACCTCAACTGTCACCAGGCCCAGCAAGTGACAACTACTGCTTTATCTTGTTTCCATAAATTAATTTTTTATGACTAAATTAATATCTTAAATATTCTTGCATTGTCATTGGAAATTTTATTTTTCTGGAAACTGGTATCGCTGCTCTAGAAGTGGTTCAAAATTGAATACAAAGATTTGACCACAAACCCAGACATTGTAAAAATATAATGAATAAAACAGGCCATTCTAAAGAAAAACAAAATAACCTTCATGGAATGACCATTTATTTTTAAATACACAACTTATGAACAGTAAGCAAAGTCCAAATAAAAAGGAAACATTAAGCAAGTTGGGTAACCCTCTAAACAATGGGATATAATCGGTTACAATATTTATTATCAACAGATTGAGCTAGGCAAACATTGAAGAAATTGTATGGTAGGCCTAAAATGTGAGCTAATGAAATTTTCAGTGAATAAACAGGAATTATTGATATTCTTAAAACCAGTGAAAGCATGTATATTTAATGGAGAAGATAAGGATTCCTGTAATTAAAAAACTGGTTGCTGAATGCTGATAAAAATGAATGAAATAGCTAACACATTTAACACAGTAAAATTAAATGTTAAATTATACTAATGGTAAATAATAATAAAGAAAAGTAATCTCAATAATGAAACGAGTAAATAAAAACTTGAATTTTACTTTTATATCTAATTATAACTATAAAATTGCAAACAATCAAAATTTAAATGAAGTAAATTCTGAAAAGTCCTATTCAACTTAAACATGAAAAGTATTAAACTCGAGTAAAGTCAAAAGTGTTAAAAAAAATTAAAACAGACATAATGTCTAAAAAGAAAGGAAAAAACTTTTTCATGCTACATTTGTATATAAATCCAGCAACAATAATTAATTTTCTTTTTAAAATTGAATTTTGAAAGCATTTTACCTCTAATAAATAAAGCACACCAACATTTAGTGCTAAAGGACATGGAGCTCTAGATAAAAATATTCTAACAAGCTTTTTAAAAACTCCATCATAAAGTTCTCCCATGTCTATCTTGGCAGCACTCCTAGTTCTAGTTTCTGTCTGTCTTTCTTACGGGATAGCTGTAAGGCAATTCTTCAAAAACTCATCTGCATTGTTGATTTCCTCCAATAAACCTTTAAGAAAATTGAAACATGATATTATTAAAAGCAAATATAATCATTGTGGTGACATGAAGTGTATGAAAGGTGTGTATGTGTGTGTATCCTTAAAGTTATAGGTCTGGCTGGGTTTGTATATGTAGGCCAATAAGTTGTGAAACTGAGTGAACCAGTGTAACAAGGAAAGCGACTGGTAGAGTGGGAGTAAGGGGTTGTGGATGCGTGTAGCAGTCAGGTTACAATTGGAATAAAGGAGTGTTGTACTAACAGTGTCACAGAGAAATAGTTCGATTAAACCCATTTGATTCATCCTAACCCTGGCGGCTTGTGTCTGAATGAAATGTACAATCACAATCATAGATGCATCTAAACTTTGCTAAATCATTCATAACTCTGTGCCCAATATTTAAAATAATTTTAATTTCATAAACATTTTTAACAGGTGATGAAGTTATATTGTATATTCTATAAAAAAAATGTATAGTTTGTGACTCACCAATGACATCAATAAACTCAGCCAAAGTCTGGCAGGGCAGGAGCTCCTCCTGGTAGATGGACAACACCTGGTCACACTGGTCCAGGATGGGCTTGTCATTGTGGCGGATGTGTTCAAACAGGGCTTTGGTCCAGATCACATTCTCGGCTTGCTTCACCTTCTGTAATGGCAACATTCAGCTCAGTCATGTGACGAGAAACATGTTTTGTTGTTGCTATAATTAAATTCATATCCTGATGTGCCACAGAATTAAATAGACATTTAAAAAGATAATACTAACCACAAAGAGCTTGTCAAAGAAAGAATTGACCAAACCAAAGTATACAAGAAAGACTTTGTATGAAGAGTAGGCTTGTGCAGTGCGGACATTTAATGCTGGTATGCTGTGGGAAATAATAATGCAATGTACAATGTTATAAAATCATATAGCAATACAAAAACATGGCAATTTTAAAAATTATGTCAGCACAGGTTTCCATCACAGTTAAAACAAGATAGTTTCAAGATTGTAAACTGGACTGGAACATATTTATTCAAAAAATTAACACAACCTTTTTTTACATTTTTTTTTCAAGTTAATAAATTACTAGAAACCAATTGTGTGTAAATGCCATGAAACCTACCTTTGCTGTGCATCAAGTGGACATACAGCTCTGACATGTGCAGTAATGAGGATCCTCTCTAGCAGCTTTTTCCTGATCTCTTTCCATTTGGCAGGGGTCAGGACATGCATGGCCAGTGCTGTAGTGTACAACACACCATCAGCCTGATCAAAGAAAACACTTGTTACAGACCATTCCACAGAAAGAAAGGCTACACTTTTAGAGTGACACTCAAGGAAATTAGATATGGTCTAAAACCATTTTGATTTTTCAATGTCTTAACTTTCTTGTGTAGATAAACATTACAATTGTTAACACTGATTAAATTATACATTTATAAATTTAAAAAGATCTCAAGTATTGTTTTGACAGCACCAAACTAAAGAAAAGACAGTGTCTAACCTCCCCTGAGTTCTCCACCCATTTGGATGCTGGCATGTCCAGAAAGCTGTTGACATTTTTCTCCTCTCTGGTAGATGTCCTTGTTCTGATTCAAGTATTCAAACAAAATTATTTGAGATTTTTTAAAAATGTCTTGCTACAAGTGTGTGTTACACATCTATGGTTGCCATATTGTTTAGGTTAGAATTAAATAAAATTAAAGAATTAAATATGTTTGCAGAAAGTAACCTTTGTAAACAGTTTTAGTTTGCTATTAGCACATAAGCTTCTATTTTTAACTTCTATCTTTTGGAAAGACTGAAAATTGACTACATTCCTCTGACTGGAGGATTTGATTGTAAATGACATCAGTGTCAGAGAAAAGATTGCAAAATGCAATTTCGGGGTGTTATACTTAGTTTTTTGTTAATTCACAAACTCAAAACAAAATATCTGTTATAAGAATGAATCAGTCTTACGTGTTTATAGCATACAGCACCATATGCATGATGAAAGGGACCAGGTACATGTTGGACTGGGGTCCCCCACCCCCACTCTCCTCACTGAATGATTTCTCCTGAGCAAAGCGAAGCAGTAGCAGCTTCAGGTCATGAATGTTGTAGGTGTAGTTCAGCTCTCTGATGCCAGTACATTCCTGCAGGTAGTTATTGTGTCTGCAACAAATCATACAAATTCACATCAATGTTCTGGGACAATTGTCCAGCACACACAGAAGTTGTCAGCAAGATTGATCATTGTAAAAAATTAGTGAACAAGTTTGATGTTTGTTAATTTTTTAACAAGTTTGATATTTCTAAAAAAAAAAGTCTATTTTTTTAAAACATGGTAAATGGACGCAATGAAAAATGTGTTGAACAAGTTAGCCTAAATTAATTAAAAGTTGAGAAGAGTTTATGCTATTTTAAAATATGCATTATAAAACTTAACACCACCAGATTAGACTATTATTTAAACAAAAATTGTAAATGTGAATCTTTACCTGGCTAAGCATCCAGCAAAGACACTCTCCTGAACCTGAGGACCCCACAGTGGGAGCAGGCCATTACATCTTGTGTTGGCATTTTGTAAGGCTGCACTTTCCCACTCTTCTCTTCCTCTTGCATGTCTGTACAAATAAAAGATTGGTAGGTGAGACCATGGAATGTATAGTGGAAGAGGTGAACATTGAGTGGTGGTGGATGCAAATACAGGTGTGAAAAAAGAAAAAGCTTTAAGAATAATAAGGTTGGTGTCAATGGTTCTCAGCCTACATGATACTTTGAGCACATCACTTTTTACCAGTTATTGACAGTGGAGCTACAAAACCACAGACATCAAATTAATCAACTAGTCCCTCACCTAACAGCAGCTGTATGGCAGTCAACATGGATGACATTGAAGTGAGTGACCGTGGAGTAGCCCACAGATTTGCGAGTTTTACTTTCATATTCCTCCATGTTACAGCGACGAGAGAAGGTGTAGATGGCTAGAACCTGAAACACAAGTCTCACATCTAAGTGTATCAGTGTCCACAGTCAGTGAGGATGAGTGTATTCATAGATAGCTACAAAAACAAACCTTTACAGCACTTGCTACAAGCTTGCTATATCAAAACACATTTACAGATGGCTAGTAGCAGTAGCCCTATCTACAGATGGCTAGTGTAGCCTTAACTTCTGTGGCTGGTAATAGTAGCCCTATCTGCAGATGGCTAGTGTAGCCTTACCTTCTGTGGCTGGTAGCGGTAGCCCTCTCTACAGATGCAGCAAGTCAACCCTGTTTCCTCCTTGAGATCTTCCATTTGTTTCAACACTGAGGACTTCACCGTCACCTGACCTTTTTCATTTGTCTGGAAAAAGTCATTAGTGTGATCAACCATCAAGTCATTAATGTAATCTTTAGTCATTAGTGTTATTTTTTTAGTGTTGTATCTGAAATGAAAAATGTGTTTACCGTCATTCCCAGGGCACCCAGCTGTTTCTTCCTCACAGCCATGGCCAGACGTTTCTTCTCTGCTCTGGTTTGTTGTCTCACTTCTTCAATCTGATGGTGACAAAACAAAACACAACTAGCCACAAAAATTAAACTGCATAACCATATCTTTTTTTCTCTGACAGCCTTTGTGTCAATAATTTGGTGCTAAATTGTCAGTTTACCTTCTTGGCTGCCTCTTCATTAGTTTTGAGAGAATCCAACAGGTTCTCAGCCAAAGTTCCAACGTGCTGATCTGATGAGACTTGCTCAAGTTTGTGTAGGATTGGTATACAAGACTCTGCTATCAGGTTCTACAAGTCAACAAAAAGTTGAGTTGAAATTCAAGTACAATTTCAAAAAATCAAGTCACACAGTAAATTATTTTATGTCTTCAATGCTGAGTTACCTGGGTAGGGACATGCTTTGTACATAGTCCAGTCAACATTCTGAGAATGTAGGCCAAGCTAGGCTTTGACAGAAACTCTTTCCACACATCAGAGTCAGTTCTAAATGAAAAATTAAAAAATATCTTATAAGAAAAATGATAGCAATATCAGGAGGAAAATAACACTACATGAATTAGAAAAATTTTGAAGAAAGTGTACACATTATAATATAACTCAGCAAGGTCACTTACGCCAACATTGTTTTAATTTCTGGTGCATGTTTAAGAATGTAGTTGACAGCGGTCTGAACCATTCCATGTTCTAAAATTAGATTCTTCAAACGGATTCCATTAGCATTGCTCTGAAAAAAAAACAAGGAAAAAACCCAAGGTAAATATTTGGCTCAGCCTCTTAACAGTAGTAAAGAAATTAACATAGATGTAATTAGCAGATTTGATGTTACAGTCAGGCTAACCTCAATAGCACTGGCAATAGAACAGAAACAATCTAGGTGGATTTCTTCATCCTGGCTGTGCTCTTCATCAAACCTGGTATACAAATCATCACAGTAAACAGATGCTCTATACATGTCAATGTTTTGTTTTATTAATTCACAAATTCTACTCATATTTTTAAAGTTTTATAAAGCATACTTGTTTTATTGAATTTTTTTATAATTAAAAGCTTGGTGGATGAGAGTTTGAGGTGGCTTAATGCAGAAGACAGACTGTTTTCCAAAGGAAAACAAGTCATCTAGTATATTTTTATTTTTAAAATGTAGTCTTATTGGTTTCTTTAATTACATTTTCAGCAAAAAAAAAACTGATTAATAACACGAGCACTAGTCTGGGTAATCACAGAGGTGTTTTAACCAACTGTGAAAAAAGAATTGAAATATTTTTAGATGTGCTACTCACTTGTCAAACTGTAGATAGGGCTTGAAGTGGGTCAACAAAGCCTCCATTTTGACATCCTCACCAAAAGCCAAAAATGGTATGAGTCTCATGAGAGCCTGTAGCACTGCTGGGTTAGACCGTACAAAAGTTGAGTTGATCCTATCTAGCATCATCAGCAGTTGTTCTTTGTCTCCACACTGCTTGGAGAATTCCTACAACACACAGGAATCAGACTTTGTAGTTTTTGTACATAAAGTTTATAACACAACATTTTCTTCATGTTAGAAGCAGAAGGTGAAGAAAAATGAGTAGTAAAGTATTAACTTTTAGACTTTACCTAAAAAATATGGCCAAACTACAAATTGTTTTCAAAACTTTTATTTATTATGTCACCAATTTTATGTTTTATCATGCACATAAAACTGAATTTAGCAGCAAATATTTAATTTTCTGACCATCAGATTGTAAACAGCTGTATGGACATTATCAAATACTACAGATTAATTAAAGTTATAACTGTCTACACAAAAGTCAACTTACTCTATATTTTTCTGGTGATTGTTCACTGGCCTCAAGCAGCACAACTTCCATAATGTGCAGCATCTGCTCAGTGATTGTCTGACCTTTAGTGCTGGTGGCTCCCTCTTGCTCAGACCACAATGCCTTTAATTACAAACAACATTTTAATAGTTTTGTCAAATTTTGTAGGTACACTAATTTTTTCTAAAATTGTAGCTCTCATAGTAAAAAACAGTTGAATGAGATAGGTTGAGAAGCTAATCATCAAAATACAAGTAACTTTTTACACATACTTAAAGTAGCATTAACCAACAAATAAAAAAGTAGCTATGAAAAGGAGCTCAATAAAAAAAAAAGAAAATCATTGTATAATCTATGAACAGACTCACCAAGTTGAGAGCACCAAGCATAATGTTAATAGAGTTGAGTTCTGGGGTAGTTAAGTGCTGCCTGTTGACCTTGACATTGACAGCATAAGAAAGCAGTTTAAGCAAGACAACCATCAGCTGTTTGCCCAGCACCAAATCTCTGATAGAGTCCAGCCTGCAGATACAGATAAAGTTGATAAATATTTCAACTGTCTCTAATCTTTTTCATTTAACAAGAAATACATTTCACATTACATAAGGTAAACCACAGGTTGATCAATATTTCTAAATTAACAAAAACTTCTTCCTGAAAAAAAAAAGCAGAATGATGCAATGTTTACCTTTCTAGCATAACTTCAATTCCACCACAATCCTTTAAGACAGTTGCCATTTTGTAAACATCCTCTTTATCTATGTCATCCTCTATAAGAATAAAGTGTTTATTCATGACTAAGTCATACCAATAGTAATTATAGAATCAAAGCTATTTATTTTTAAATTATTCAAAGGAAAATTGCACTCTTTGAAAGTTGATATTTAAAATTTTTAAGACATACTCTATTAAAAGAAAGTAGTTTCCCAAATACCTGAACCAGAGTCGAGAGAATTGATCATATCTTCTGTTGCATCTCCCAGCAATCCTCTCATGCGATACAGAACTGGCATTGGTTCACCCTGCAATAGAAATAGTTTAAAAATAATCATAGCGTATAAAACAAAAGATTTTAATAGTGAGTAGTACAATCTGAACTAACATTACAATAAAATACAAATGAATGGCACTGGCCACTTACCTCTCCACGTTCTGGGAGCCAAATTTTCTTGTACACTTCCTTTACTGGAAGGTCCAGGCTAATGATTTTTTTGTTGACCAGCAGCTAATCAAATAAAATGACTTGATTAGAACCACAAACAAAAGGTTTTAATGTTAAAACATACACTCTTAACAGTACAGCTAAATGTAAACAAATACCTCCATTCCAGTGTCATCATCCAGGAGAGCCACCAGTTCACAGTCTAGTGACAGGAAACAAATATTTATTACAAACAAAATTATGCTGAGTATAATTTATAGTATAATACTGTCAAAGAAAATACAATATTTCATGAAGCTGAATTCTAAGGCAGCCTGGATTTATGAGGTTACAACACGTACCTGTACAAATTTTGTTCTTGATATCTCTCATTAAAGGTCCCATGCCTGGCTCTGTTGAGCTATATGGGTTGCCCAACATTCTGCCCTGTAGGAAATCTTCTTGCTGTGGGTCTTTCTCCAGGATCAGGTAAAACTCTGAGACATCATTTTCTTCCTGGTCAAGAATAAAATATTGTACTTATAGTAGTCTATTAACTTTTCCGCCACAATATTTTATTACCTATTTTAATTTAAATTGAACTGATTTTTTAAAAAATAAATTTATTAAACTGTTTGTTTTTTTATTGACTCCAACTGAAGAAAACAACTACCAGCAAAATGTGATTGTTTTAAATTTTTCATTATACATAGATATAAGCACACAATTTGACTTTTATGTATTATATTTGTGATCTGAATTCAAGCAATCCAGTTTAGTTAAATAAGTTTGTTTCCAAAACTGGAACCATATCATTATCTTTTGATTTTTTTACTAAACTAACAGTGATCACAAAGAATGATGCTATTTATCAACAGTTTCACCTGCCTAAAATTAAATACCCCTGAACACCAAACACTTGAATTAATTTTTATAAAGATAAGAAAACCTTTCCATATTTTGTGTTTTTAAGCAAGAGAAACTTACAGGGTAAATGATGCTACACAGCCTTTCAAATATGAACACTGGTGATCTGTAGTCATCTAGAGGATATTTCTTCATGGTCTGGACACATACCGACATGAACTCTTTTGTTTCTGACTCAGTGCCTATTCAGGGAAACAATGGAGGAAATATTAAAAAATGTGACCCCATGTTTCTGTATGATCATATCTTGAATGAATTTCTGAATGACTGAAGTATAAAACAATTCTTGGAGGCAACAAAGATGAACCTACCAGTTGTGAGCTCCTCTAACATCTGTAGAAGCTTTTCTTGGGTTTCATCAATGAGCTTAGTTCTCTGGACAACAAGCTTGCGCAGGGAAAGATAACCATTGAGAACACATCCCACAAGCCTGTTTTTGTAGTGTTGCTTCAACTTTTCTTGTTCTATGAACAAGGCCAGTAGCTCTGAAATTTTAAAAATGTTTTTTAGTTTTAACATCACGTTTCATTAAGAAGACTTTGTAGGACTAGTTGTAGAAATGGATAATATAATACCTGTCAGAGATTTAAGGGCAAAGCCTTGAGCCAAGTCTGAACTAAGAGTTGCCTCTTCTAGGTATTGAAGATGATCAACTTCCTAAAAACATTTTTAATAGACAGAAAATGGTGAGAAAAGTACATTCATTGCAAATACCAATTTTATGTATATAGAATTTAAATACTTGTTCAAGCTAATTAAGCAAAGTATTTCAAACATCTATCACTATAGCTTGCTTAGAAAAAAACAATCTTTAGACTATTTTTTGTTTTGAACGAACTAAATCTTACAATAGAGATCAAGTCAGCCAAATGCAGCATGACGCCCTTGATGGCGAGGTAAAATTTCCACTTGTCTTGGCTGATGAGCCGCTTGTACAGGCCAAGGAACTCACTAGCACACTCTCCACTTCTACCCACATCTTTGAGACAGCTGCAGTTATAAAAATATGGTATAACTAAACTAAAAATATGGTATAACTAAACACACAATTTCAGTAACTACACAGACAATATTTAATGTCCAGAAAAATATTTGAAGTAGGTACAGATGATAAAATGAGATGAATTGATTTTTATAAATGTTTGAATATGAAATCAAAATAATTAGTAGTCTTTATTATTAGACATAATAAATGTCTAAGTTCTAGCATAATTTTATCAATAAAAAACAAAGGCCCTAAAGTAGTCGACAACAACCTACCTTGTCAACATGTCAATAACTTCCTTGCGTCTACTAAACACCTGTGATATAGCCTCAATGACACTACAAGCAGTCTGTCTGGCTGATCTTGAACTGGGTGAAAACATGGCTTGCTGAAACAACACCAAAATAGCATTGTTATAAATAAATGACAACACAGACATATAGCATCTATTGTTGACAAGAACAAGTGTATAACAGTGAGCCCACCTGTAGCCAGGTGGTCTGGGTAAGTTTGAGTGTGACAGCTGGAACCTTCCACATGTTTTGTTTCCACCTAGAAGCATACTTCTCCATCAGGTAGTCAGCTCTTGTGTTGGATTTCTTCTCAACTTCTTGAGCTTTCTTCTCAATGCTCACAGCCTCTGCTAATGAGGCTGGTAAACAAATCAATGAGTCTATCAAACATACATTTTATTAATAAACTCTATTTGATTTGATAAAATTAGCATTTTACATCAATAATTGCTTAATTGCCTAAATTTCTAATGTTTTATAAGCATGATGAAATGTGATAAAAATAAACAAGTTTCTGCTAATGAAGACAAATACAAGCTAACATGCAATATTTACTACCTGGCTTGGGAAGACGTTTCTTCCAGTTTTGATATGAGTATCTAGAGTCTCCAGCCAGCCACTTTCTCACGTCCATGTGAAACTTGGCTGGCATGGAATCTGCTGCTGTTTTCTCAGTCTCCTGGAAAATGTAAATAATACAGTCACAACTTGACGTGTTGTTATATCAGCCATTGACAGCAATGATTTGTATGCATACTTAATTCATTTTAATCTTTTTAGCAAATGTGTCGTTCAAAATGTATACACTTTATAAAATCATATAATATGGTGAAATTTTTATTTTTGCCAAAAAAATAAAAACTCTTCACTGGGAAACTAAATTTCTGTATGATTGAAATTTTTTTTTTGAACGTCCATTTTTTTAAGAAAGAGTGTAAACAAAACAACTAAGTAATCTAACCTTTTTCTTTCCATTTATAAAACTAACAAGATCCTGCTTGACTAGTCCCTGTAAGATTCTCAGGCAGGGTAAGGTGATAGACTCCATGATGACAGGGTTCCTCATCTGCATGCCCATCAGGAACAATCTCATCACTGCAGAAAGACACACAAGTGGTGGGTCAGAAATAAAACCAGTATTCATTTTTGATGCATAAAATAAACATTTCACAGAGGATTATGTAGCCAACACCTTTCATGTCAATGCTCATTACAGACTTTAAGCTCTTCCATATGACTACAACACCCCCCACGCGTAACATAAGTATGAGTATACAACACTGAGGTGAATGATCTCCACACCACCTCCACATATAAGAGATGAATGATGTACTAACCACAGCGAGTTCTCTGCTCCCAGCAGGAATCATCCTGATGCAGGGAAGTGGCCAGCAACATAATCTCATGTCTAACAGAGGAACCCTGGAACACCAAAAGTCAGTCAGGTTTAAACCCCACACAAGCAACAGATTTTCACCAAATGCTAGTACAAGCATAATCTCTTACCAGATCAGGATTAGACTGGTGGCCTTTAATGGCTGCTGTGATTCGGGTCATCACCAAGTTGTTCATCTCTTCTGTTCCCTTACGGTTGTCACGTGTAAGCAGACACAACAAGGTGCGGACCTCTGTTCTGACTGACAGTGCTCCATGACGCAGGTTGTAGTCGATCAGCTGCTTGATCATCCCCTGTTTTAATCATATCAATTGTTCAAGTTTTTATAAATATAAAGTAAACAATCAAGACGTTTTATTGTAAAACCTTTTGAATGATGATTAATTAAGCAACATTTAAGATGAAATTATAATTTACCATCCGCACTTAGGTATGTTTTCTTAAATGATGTATGATGGAGTAAAAAAGATTTGGACAGGTTAAACTAACCTGGTTACAAAGCATTTGTCTCATGTCAGAGTTGGTCACCAGGGCCCTCAGCAATGTAATGCAATGTTCAACAGCTGCACTGGCACAACCAAAACAGCTGCCAACTTTCAAACTACGAGAAGAAAAAATAATTTGGGCATGGCTTTAATGAAGTAATGTTCATCTTTGGGACAAGCTTTTATTTAAAAGAATTTTTTAAATATTGACTCAATTACAAAAACAATAAATAATTACCATTCTTTCTTTTCTTTGACCATTGTTTTGGAAGCTTTGCTGTCTGATGTAATCATTGTTTTAGGTTTAGCTCCAGTGGGCACCTGGCCTTTGGTTGCAACAGCATCTCTCTGTTGCTGGTCATACTCCACAAGCTCACGTCTGCACGCCATCACTTTCTACAAACAGAATACATAAAATCTTGTAATGGTGTGTTCATATGGACTGACTGATCTCAAGAGAAAACTTTACTATTATACTCATACTGTACAACTATTAAAGCCTAAATAAACTCTTTCAAGTATCGGGATACTTTAAAATATTGGATATGAAAATTCTCAAACTAATCACACAATAATATACTATTACTACTTTCAAGATGTGTGATTTTGATTACCTGAATAATTTTACTGAGTTCATCAAATGCAGCTTTACACTCCCCACAATACTTCTGAGCCAGCAACTGAATGGCTTTGTTAACACTGCTCACTGGGACAGCAGCTGCTGCTCCATTTGATTCCTGCAGGGTGCAAATAGCACACAATGACATAAACATACACATTAGAGAAACAATAAAACAATTTTTGTACAAGTAGCAAGCAGTGTTTTGCTCTAAAATATTTTTAAAATAACCAGTCAATTTTAAAACTTTCCTATTAAGTAAATTGTCACAGCTTATTTGGAAGCAATCACCTTTTTGTTTAACATGAAAAATTAATAAAACGTTTAATAGATGGTGGCTGACCTTTCCAAGAGAAGGAGGTCTATCTGAACCATGCTCAGCAACCTGAATCAATAAACTTTCTAGCACAGGCCGGTGGAGCTGAAGCTGCTTGTATATGCGATCAGCTTTTTCTAACAGAGAGTTGATGCTAGAAATTGCCTGCAAATGTACATGATATTAGTATACAAAAAAAATTCAGCATTGATCAAAGATAAATAGTAAACATTTAGCCATTAGAAAAGTAGCATTATGTACCTTCTTCCTATCCTCTTCATTTTCTATAGGATCAACAGCACAGCAAGGTTTGGCTAAAAGAGTCAGATCAAACTTGGCATACTTGCAGAAGCCACACGAGTTACACAAGAAGGGATCTTTTTCATCATAGTTGATGGATCTGCACATCAAATAACACACATGGTTAAATTATGTGAAAAGTTTTTTTGTAAATTAAATGTAGGCCTACATACAAAATCATAAGATTGAATACTAATTCTGAGCAAAATGGACAAAGTGGACAAATATTTCCTTCTAAGGAAACTAAAAATAGCGCTGCGACAAAAAAAAAAACCACCATCAAAGGAAAATAGCTAACATAAACAACAACAAAATATTGGCAACAATACCTGCACTTGTGGCACTGATAAACATTTTCTCCACAGTTTCCACAAACTCCAGGGGATGCAGGTACACTGGCGCTACAACGAGGACACTGCAGGGTTTCAGCTGTGGCTTGCAGGTTGTCATAGAAATCAGCATACTCAATCATCAGGTTACAGGCTATTATAGGGATTGGAAACTCAACCTAGTTGGCACAAGAAAATACACATTAATGACTCTTTGTAGACATTTTTATAATTAATATTTTCAAATATACAAATATCTAATAAATAAAAATTCAATTCAATCTTACTTTAACTTCAGTCTGGCCAGAGGTCAGTTTGACCTTTTTAGCTTTGTGCCAAAGTCCTGGCCTATTCCTCAGTTCAACAACAGCTTGTACTGATCTGTTGTTGTAATAGATGTTCATAGTTTGTACCTGAAAACACAGACATAAATAACAATGTATAGATTGTATATCAAAACAAAGCCAGGTTCAGTAAAAAAAAAACATTAAATTTTGTTTTAAAAAAAATTTAAACTGACCATTTTAGTTCTTTTGAGGTCACTGATCCTGAGCGAAATCTTGGATATGATGTGACTTCCAACAAGTTTGACAATCTGGGTGGTGGTGGTGAACTTCGAGTCCACTTTCACAGCTGAGAGTTTGAGGGTCTGTGACAATAGAAAGCATACAGTTCAACACAAGGCATCTAATACACACTTCAAACACTAGGACTAGAGACACTTGTTTTCTAGACTTAATTCAATCATTTCTACTACACATCTATTACCTGGAATGGCACTTCAGGATTGTTACACACCAGGCAAGGGTCACTCTCTAAGTAGTAGCCATCAAAGTCCACCAAACCTTGTAACATGCTACACGTTCAAAGATAAATGTTTATTACAGTTGCTACACATTCAAAGATAAATGTATATTAAAGCTGAGTGCAACAAATATATCTGACACTAACAATTCAAGTTATGTAATTATTTTACATGAATTCAAAAAATGTATAAAACCTTACTTGTAGATTGTGGCATTGGGGTGGTGGGCCAGAATTTGGTTTTCTTCTTTCAGCAGTGAGACAGCTTTGTGAAGGTACTCAGACACCTGCAAAAAGATATGTGATGATTAACTTGAAGAATCTGGATTTAATGATAATCAAAGCGTTGATAAACATTTGGGTGGTAATAAAAGTAAATAAAAACCTTTTTGTCTGCAAGTCCTGGTGTCTTCAGCAAGAAGTAACCAAGCAGGTCAACAAATTGTGCAGCTTTCCTTCCAAAGACAGGAACCTCATGCCACAGGTCCCAGAGTGAATCCAGTAGAGCTTGCTGTTCATCTTGTGTTGAGTTTCTGCCATAAAGAGACAAGATGGGCATTACTACTTAGTTATCTTTTCATATTCTTAATCTTTAATCTGTTAGCCATTAATTATATATCCCAGATGTTAATTTATATAGTCCATAACTTCACACAAGCATGAAGTCTTTAACAAAATTATAAGCTATTGGCTAGTACCAATTGAACTAAAAATTCTAACTTCAAATCAGTTACCACAAGAAAGTAGCTCTAATAACTATACACTGAGCAACTACCTGTATATCTGTAAGATAAGAGCATGAGCCATCCAGCGATTGCTGCTGGAGTTAGAATCCAAAAGGTACGTCCTCACAAACTTGATGAGCAGCCATTTGTCCAGGGTTGCATTCAGCTGTCTGACTAGTTCTCTACACAGACTGTCATCGAATGGACGGCTGTCTTCTGCTTCTTTTTTAAACACTCCTGAAGTGTCTACATCTGTTCATTAAACAAAACTTTAACTTAATAAACATGCAAAAATGTATAGCTTTAAGAAGACACATATTCATTACTTTTTTTTTTACTAACTTTTAGGATAGTGTGGTCGAGCAAATGGTTGCTATCCCGAGAATCTCAATTCAGATTCACAAGGTTTAATCAATACTATTTTTATCATAAACAAAAGTCAAGTTTAGATTTGGCAGATTTTAAATCCAGAATTTATTTTTACTATCCAATGATTTTTAGCGCAATTTCCATTCTGGAGAATTGCGTTTATTAACCCGTCATTTCTGGATGTATGAATGACAATGTATGGATGTGTGTTCGCAGCTTTAAGTCGTATGTCCTCAACGAAGCAATATCGAGGACTAGTTCCAAAAGCAAATTTGTTAAGCAAGTTACAAGGATGATAGTGGGCCAAAAAAATTCCGGAATTCCTTCCTGGATTTCACTGAAAAGCCAAAAAACCTCGAAAAAATGCAGTTTTTGGCCCATATCTCGGCAACCAGACCACTTAGCGACTTGAAACATGTACCAATCGATTCCTGCCATAATTTAGAACAATATTGCTGAAGAAAGTTTTCAAAAATATCCTTTCGTTCGGTCACAAATTTTAAAATTACATAAACACCTACAAACCGATCGTTCTCCTAGCTTGAACGCACCCCAGCATTATACGTCAGAGCTATTTTTAGATAACATAAGGAAATTGCGCATAAATGTCACTAGACTTTTTAATTAACTTGTTTTTCTAATGTTCTCACAACTTTATAATTATTACAAAAAATAACAGATCACATACCATCTGTTTTAATTTTCACAGTGTCTTTTTCTTTCTTGGACTTGACTTTAACTGGTGAAGTTGACGAGCTTCCTGAGCCACTGCTATGAGCTTGGCCATGACCTTTGACACCACAGATGGCACACTGCAGTAGCTGCAGTAAAGTGGGAGCTACCCCCTCATCTAAAGATATGCTTGCTTGAATCAAGTATGGCAGTGTGTCTAAAGTTGGGATAAAAGAGCAAAATCATTACATTGTCACCAGCAAGTTGGTAAATACATTCTTGTAATTTAAAGAATAATTTTACAGGGTATCTAGAATATGCTTATCTTATACAATAAATATATGAGCTTATTAGTTCAAGTTTTTTTTTATATCTTTGCAAATGTGTCATCTTTACAAGTAAATGACTTCATAGCTATGGCTACTTTCACTGTCTAGAGATGAAGAAACTGTTAGGCAGCTTTGATAACCCTTAATAAATAAAATAGTGGAGTAAAGAATAACTTTACAATAGTAATTACCTTGCTTGAGTTTACAGTAGAGTTGCCAGTTGTAAGGTCTAGATGAAGCAATGTCACATACAACTTTTAGGTGCTCAATCTGCAATACAACATAGTTATTTAACAAATTATGCTTTACAATGGTGAACTTCATGTTTTAAAATTGTAGGTGCAATAATGTGTCAATAACTAAACTTAGCCTATTTTGATAATGACCTTATAATAATAAAAAAAAGTAATAATTATTATACATCAACACAAGATAAAGTTAAGGTTACACATTGTGAATAGAACAACAGGAAGCAACCAGTACCATTGTCAAGAGTGTATCATATGGGAGAATGATACTGTGTGGGGCTGTGTCTGACCCAGCTTCCATGCCACCTTTTTTACAAGTGTTGGTCATTTGTTGCAGGTTGGACTGGATTGTGTGGTCATCTCGCAGAAGCCTGTACTTCTCTTTAGACCCACAGATGAATAACAGAAGCTGGAGGAAAAAAATCATTGGTTCATATTCCCTAATAAAGAAATTATAATTCTATTTAATAGGGTACAACATTCCACTTAAAAATTAATTAGTGTTAATTTTTATATTAACAAGAAATTATGTTAAGTGCTCCTAAAGTCTAATAAAATAATGATGCCAGCAATTTTTAACAAAAACAAATGCTTTCAATGTTTTTTAAGCCCACTTTTGTCACACACCTTTCTGACTTGACGTTTCACAAATGGTGTTTGTTGAGTCAACATGTACTGCAAAAGATGAAAAGAAATATACATAATGTACTGCAAACTTATTTATTTTACTCTTGTAATGATATCAAGTTTATTCAAATCATCAATCACATAAACAATAATGTAGGTTGCTGGATTTTACCTCAGACAAAAGCTCTTGCCACTTAGTGTCAAAAACAGCTGTTGACATTTTCTGTTCATCTGATATTTTTTTGAGCTAGAAACAAAATAACTTAAAATTAATCCAAACAGAAATTACTTGTATCAAAATACTACACAGATTTTTTAAAATAAAGCACACAAATTGGTTCTGAAATAAACTAATAAAATGAGAAAAAAGTTTTCTAATTACCTGATAAGGTAGCCTCAAGACCATCTCTGTCAGGAGCTGAGGGTAATCCTGGAAAATGTTACTGGCATGGCCTTTCACATACTGGCGCAGGAAAAATGGAGACATGTCTGGTGGGGTGTTGGAGGGGTGTGGCTTCAGCAACTGGCCAGGCACATTTGATGGCTCTTCCTGTAAGTCATTCAATTACAATTTTGTTACAACAGTAAATTGACAAGAAGTGACACATCTAACTGTAAGAAAAGATTGTTAATAACCAAACCTTGTAAACCCTTCAGTTTTAATATGAAAGAAAACTGGCAAGAAATAAAACAAAACATAGTACTAGCTGTAAGGTAAGATTGTTTATATTAACCTCTTCAGAGTTGAAATTTTTCCAATAGGGTAGCAGGTAAGTTAGGACCTGTAGACAATAGGGTACTGTTCCTGACTGCAGGAGGGCTGAGGCGGTCTTGTTGCTCACAAATGATGACTAAAAAAAAAAAAAAACTCACAATCAAATTGGTGTTGTTTTTTTTTAAATATAGTGCACATTTGTATGCACTTAAACTGAGCTTTTAGATGAAAAAAAATACCCAGGTATTACATTAGTTTAATATGTTTTAAAATGTAAGTTTCATTAAAAAAAACTATCTCAACTTACTTCACTTGAGTACTTGGATCCTGACCTGGACCTAGATAGTAGAACACTGACAAGACGGAGTAGGATCAGCTTCACTTCAAAGTGGTCGTTTCTCACTGAGATCTGTTGTAAATCCTGCAGGAATATAAAATCCTACAAGTGTACACAACCAAAACATTTCAGCAGCTATACAAAGTTTGGACAAGATAATGGAACAAAGATTTAAACAGTTTACCTTTCCAGAAAGATCAAGTTCTTTGATTACGGTAGTTAAGAAAAGATCAAGAGCTGCTCTATCTTTATCTTCATCAGATTCAAGGTCAGTAGTTAACATGAGAAGAACCTGGACATAAAGTAGTTAGCATAATACAAGCTTTTTGTGAAAGTTTTTTTAATTATAAATGAAGAAAATAACATGAACATCTGGAGTCCAAGTTCCTGATATTATCCATGATTTGAAAAAGAAAGCATATTTGGCTTACTTGCATGAAAGGAACTGATCGCACACCTCCGACTTTTTGAACTTCAGGGAAATAGTTGAGTAGGGTCTCTAAAAATCTGAGACGGAGACTGTGAAGCCTGATTAGAGGAAAATGTTTTCATATTATGGGAGTATTTATTTCCTTTCACTGCATAAAAAAGGCTGTTGTGAATTTCATTGATTCTATTAAAAATTAGAAAAAGTTTAGAAAGTTAAGAAAGAGAACAGACCTTTGAGTGGTATCTGTATCAGGTTGAGTGTTATCTACATTGGGAGCCAAGTACCCACTTGCTGCACCATAGCTGCTGGCATCACTCTTGGCTCCAGTTTGTAAACTCTCTGTAGCATGGAATCCATAGGAACTACTGCGGCCACTTGTGGCTGAACACATTCAAAACAAAAGTTATTCAGCATTTATTACACTAAATTACTCTTCACTCAAGACATGGATGTTCGTTTCATTTTTTACTTGCTGGGACAGCATGGCTGGGAGGGAGAGTGCACTCAACTGCTAACCTGTAAGTCTAGAGTCTGGATCTCGGACTCAAGTCTATAGGACATCCCGGATGGGTATCTGACTCATATAGTAAAAGTAGCTAAGCATGGTGCTGACCACACATACCATTGTAACAGAAGCAGATAAACTCTACTTCATTTGCCCCATGGACAGGTCCAAAAGAATAACTTTTTAAAAATAATAACAAAACAAAATATGTGATATAAAAGCTAGCAACATACCAGAAATGGAGTCTACAGCACTGCCACCACTTTCTGAACCAGCTCCGGAGCCCCCACCCTGTTCAGCAGGTGAGGTCCTCAGTGTTGACCCATCAGTTGCTGCTGTACTGCCAATCTCATCATCACTTGCTGGGGCAGATGCCGTGGTGTCTGATAGAGGCTGTTCCTCAAGCTCATCATCATCTTCCTGGCTAGGAGGGGCTATAGCAAGTCCCTGAATTGCCAGATTTCCAGGTTGTCCTAGATTGATGCCAAGATTACTGGCCAGTTGTCCTGACAAAACACTTGGAAGTTGTCCTACCTGGCCACCGCCCTAAAAATATTTTTATTGAACATATATTTTTTTTACTAATATACAAAATTACTATATTATTGTAGGACAATAAAATAAGACAAATCAGTATGATGAAAGAAAAAATGTTTCTTAATTTTAAAAAATATATCTACCTGTTCCTGTAAACTGAGGGCTATGGCTAGCTCCACCATAGCCTCATCATCAGCATCAGGAGGGATCTCCACCATTGGAGGGAAGTTTGGCTCCATTCCCCATAGGGCTTCAAATCCCTGCATTCCATTGGCTTGTCCCATGCCCTCATCCAGTAACATGTTATTGTCCTAAGACATTTTAAAAGTTGATGGGATATTTTGTTAAAGCAGGAAACACATCAAAAGAGGATAAATTATAGATTAAATTTAAGAAAGAAAACCTCTTAAGCCATTAGCTGATGAGAAAATCAAGGGCACCTACCACAACTTCATACAGTTCATCAGGTTCTGGTTCTTGGTCTTGTTCTGGTGGTGGTGTGGCTGCTCCATCCTGTTGAGAAGGGTGAAATGGTACTGGTGGGGTGTCAGCATGCCCCCTCTTGTCTTCTTCATCATCTTCATTTCCCTCTGGTTCTATTATCAAAAATAGATAATTAAAAATAACTTTACATGAATGGAAAAACAAGTAGACCTCTATGTCAGAAGTTAAACCAGCCTATAGTATATACAAAGTATGTAAGTTAATCTTTCATTTGGTTTACCTTGAGGAGTAAGCAGTGGAGGAGATGGTATGTAAACACGTCTTTTCTTATGGCGGGGTCTAAGGACACGGATAAGTGCTTGACGACATGAAAAGCTGACTATTGGGTCCTGTAAAACAATTTTTTTTAGAATTACAATTTACAAAAGCACCAAAAAAAAAAAGAATTTTTAAATTTATATTTATATTCTACCATTTATATATATAAAAAAAGAAATTAATAGAAATTTACTGGTGACAGCAGCATGCGGACATAGTGTTTGGTAGCCAGCTGAACACACTCAGGGTCACAGAGAGTAAAAGCATGGATCACTTCCACCAGAGAGCTGACAGTCACATCTATATTGGTCAAGCCTGGAAGTTTTAGAGCAAACAGAAACCATTAGATACTATACCTATCTTATATTTGCAACTAGAAAATCTTTTTTAAAATATATTTATGCTTTTGAACATATGGAATTGGTCCATCAGGCTAATGTCTTGCTGAAGTCTGGCATATAACAACAAAAAAGATTAATAGTGGGTGACCAGATATTAGCACAATGGAACAAAGTGCAACAGAACAATTTTTTTTTATATCTCAGACATTAGCAAAAAAATGACCAAATGTAAAATATAACATAATAAAACATGTTCCTATAAAAATTACATGTTTCAAATAAAAATGTAAGTATATGAGTTTGTTTTTGTGCATTTTTCTGTTTGCACAATTTTTAGCTGTTTGCTTTGTTCTGTTTGATATATTTCTAATAACTGTAATAGTGGTACAGAACAACAAGTACAACTTTTTGGACAACGATCAAGTTGCTGCCATTCTAGATCAATATCTATACTGTTTTTAATCTAGCATTCAACTGAGTGCAGTAAAAGCCAACAGACCTGGTAGACACACTGGTGCCAACATTGGGTTGGCTGGTTTTGAAGCATGGAGTCTCCAGAAGGCTTCAACAAGTCTAGAGGTGAAGTGAGATTTTTCAGCATCAGTCAATGAGTACAAAGTAGCAGGGATGCAAACTTTAGCTGCTGGCTGCTCCTCTTCCAGATCAGTAACTTCTAAGGCTGAAAGAATTGTCAGTGATTATACTTCAAGCTGTGGTTAAGTATCATATGAAACAGTTACAGAAATTTATATTGATTGGAATCTGCTTCATATGCCCAATGAAGATAGAAAGGTGTTCTTTCCCTTTTCTTTTACCTAATATATTTGCTTCATGGCTTCTAATAACTATTCTTTAATAACTTCAATGACTCATTTTTAACAGTTTATAAAGTTAGACAGTGAAGTAAATTAAAATCAACAGTTTCCCAAAAGAACAAGCAATATTTCACTATTGGGTGTAAAATGTTTCTTACTCTGATTGGCTGAATCTTGTGCTTCAGCAAACTTGACGAGGTTGACTGGTCTGGAGACAGAAACAGAGCGAGCTGTAACCAGCATGTGCTGGAAAGCTTCCACGTCAATATCTGGCAGGTCAGGTGATGACAGGCAGGACATGACATGTTTCAGCTGGGCTTGGTCCTAAACATACACATCCACAATGGTCAAAGCATTCAAATCTAAACTAGTTCGTTTATGCAACAACTTTTTTAAAAGTGATAGATACAATAGTAAAAAACAAGTCACCTTATGATTGTGATAGATTGTCTTAGTGGCAAAAAGTGAGGCCAGGAGAGATTTAGTGTGTAGCTGTACCAGGTCAGGACAGGTCAAGGTCAGCAGAGATGTGGCAAAGTTCAAGGCAATCTCCCTTGATGTGTCAGCTGTATTATCTGCAGAACCATTGATGGTGAAAGCTCCATCCAAAACTCCTAGCGCACTACCAAGTAGTCTGGAAGTGAAATAGCAGAGCAAACAATAAAATCATAATCCTATATAATAACTAAGTTGATTGGTCTATAACTCCAAAGAGGTGGAGCCAAAAAATACCTAGCTCAGAACACACTAAGAAGAATTATAGGAGTGGGAAGAACAACTATTTTTTAGATTTAAATATTTGTGTTATTTTTTTTCTTTTTTATGCCAGCCTTACAACAGGCCTTGCTGTTTGTTTAGGTGAATGGTTTATTTTTTTCTGCAATTTTCTTCATAAAGCTTTATTCAAGCAGAGTTGTCTCTATACTCTAGAACACATTAAGACCCCAACAGAAGAAAGGCTGACCTGTCTGCTCCAGTCAAGGGAAGTGTAGCTGCAGGTGTGTTTTCTGCCTCTGTGTTTGTTATGCCATTGCAAGTGTTGGCCAACTTTGGAGCAGTGGAGGCCGTGGGTTCTGGGAAGTCCTCTGGCTCTTCAGGCCACCCAAAAGCCTCTTTTGTTTTCACATACACCTTAACTGAGTCAACCATGGTGACAGCATTTGGATCCATGCTGCAGCCAACTAAACAATAAAATATTTTTAAATTACTTTAAGGTTTTTAATACAGAAGTTTCCTTCAACATTAATTTAAAACCAAAGTTATTTTAACTGAAAGAACAATGGGTTCTTATTAAAAAAAAAAAACATGAATGTACTCACAAAAGCAATCAAACTTTTTGTCAGCAGTTAAGGACTCCTCCCTTGTAAATGGAATGTCAAACCATCTAGCTCTTCCATTCAACTAACAAAATTAAACACATTTTTTATTAGATACACATAATTTTTTTAAATAAATATTTTTTGTGTGAAACAAATTTTAACATGAAATCTGCTAGTGTGAATTTCACTGCAACTAGTAGTGTCTGTCGTTCATATTTTAAAAAAAAAACCAGTTGAAATATACCTGAATGGGTATTTGTCTTCTGAAAACTTCAATATAAGATGGGGATCTTTCAATAGTTTGTGATCCAACAAAAATTCTAACCCCAACAGGCACTGTACTGTTGTTTGTGTTGGTAATCTCTATGTTAAAACCATTGGGCTGGGGAGAAAAAAAACAAAAAAATATTTATATCATAAATAAAAACAAAGATTTATATCTGGTTATTAGCAACTTAAAAAAAAAATTAAAATTGACCTTGTTCTTACCTTGGTACTAGCAATGTAGAGACCACTTGTGTTGAGCCTGTTCTTCACTTGTTGAGCATTGTAGATTTGTAAGATGTCATTTCCACCAAACTGTTTGATAAATTTTATTTAATGTAAGGTTGGTAGCATTTAATTAAACAGAAGAATACTTCTACTTTACACTAGTTTTAATCAAATAAGACACACGTATAGTATACACTTAGAAGTTGCTTTAAACCATACCAAGACTTAACATTGAAGAAATAAAAATGGTATATATGAATGTAGTTTATCTTACCTCCACATCATTGGAATGCTGGCAGTGTTCAAAGAAATCAACTGGGAATGAAATACTGCTGTTTGTACGACCTGGAATGTTTATCAAATATTTTTTTGAAGTTTTTATCAAACAAAACCAGATTAACTTTATAATTTTTTTAATGACACACTTTATTTTTTTTATTACTGCACTTATTAATTATATTATTTAGTATTTAGCTGACCTGATTTGACAATTTTCTTCTTCTTGACTGGTTTGAGTACAGCAATGGGACTTTTAGGCTGCAGATTGGGAGACATCCAGAAATTGGTGGCATCCACATTAGCCATGTATATCCTTAAGCTACCATCCTCACACAGAAGTATCATTGTGGTCCGGTGCTGAAACACAATACAACTTGGCTGAAGAATTTAAGTATAAAGAAACTGTTCTAATAAACGTTTTTTTTACTAATAGAGATCTGATATTACATGACATGCCTTAGCTCAGTATTGAAAATAAGTCAGGTCATATAATCAGATACCTATTAGAAAGCAGTCTCATGCTAATCAGTAAATTCAAAAGACACTATTATGTTACACAATGATAATATTACCTGGTCGGAGTTTGAAGCTGGATGTCGAATGGCTACAACATCTTGAATCTGTATTTGATATCAAAATTTGCATTATTTAAAGATAAAGCTTAAACTTTTCATCAAATTATTTTCACTAAAATATTACATATTTTACATCAATAATTTAGCTGGACAAATATATTTCCTTCATTTACCTAGATGGAAAATGTTTTTTCAACTATTTAAAAATCATCTCTATTGCTGCCACACATTTAAAAATCACTGAATAGAGAATGAATGGCTCAACTGTTTACATTAGCATATATGCAGCACCAACCTTAGCTTTAGATGGGAGAACCTTGATCTCCTGCACCATAATGACATCTGGCTTGACCATGAGAACTATGGGATTGTTGCTGGTCTGGGCCATGCAGTACAGAAGTCCAGTGTGACCCGGTACCTCAGACCATGAGACCAGAGGCTGGGAGTTCCCACCTTTGCTTCCCCCATTGGAACTGTGACAAATTAACAAGAGGAGTTTGAGTCTCTTACTTGTGTCTGTGATTGATCAGCTGTAAGCTATAAACTGTGAGGTATAGAGACTTACCATTTGAATGTGATTGGGAAAAGATTTGTAACTGTTGATAAGTCTTTGGCCACTGGGGCAGCAAAACTTTTGCCTGGACAACAGATAACAATAAATATTATACTTATAATGATTGCTAAGTTCTTGAAGTGTTAGTTGAGCCAGAGGTGAGTACTTAACAGACTGCTGATCCTAGCAACAAGAACAGTTCATTGTATATCAAATCAGTTTCACTAGCAAAAGTTTCTATTTTCCCACAAGGAAATGGCAATTTAACTAAACTTTTAAAACTCTCATTGTATTGTTGCAAGCTTAATTTCTATAACAATACAAGAATTGATAAATATATTAAGATCTTTTAACAGCTTATCTCTAAACCAAACATAACATTGCTCTGTTATATAAATTTGCAATAAAAAAAAAATGATCAGTCTCACCTGAGGAATAGCTAAAGAAAATAAGCTGAAGAGCATGTGAATAGTAGACTGAGACACCTCCACCAGCAACTTGCCCATTGATGTCCTGATACATACAATAATACATTTGTAAAAAAAACTGATTAAATTAAGAAAGAAGATGAATGTAAAGAGTACATCTACCGTTCCTGAGCCCACCCAGCTCTGATGGGTACCAAACTCATGTTAGGGTAAGTAAAGGCGGCTGGGCAAAGTGCTGACCACACAATCCCTTCATATGCCAAGGTCACAGAAACAAGTGAACTCTACTTCACTTGCCCCGTAGACCATCAGGTTTGAAAAGGAACCTTACTACTTACTGCTGAAGAGTACATCTAACTATTCCAACTTTTCTATTGATATTCTAATACACAATAGATGAAGCAAGAAATGTGGAGCAGGTAACTAGTACATCTAAATATACCACTGATTCATACCTTGAGATCAGTATGTTTGACTTCCATAACATTAGTGATGTAGAAAGGCCCATGTTTAGCAGAGCTGGAATCCTCCAAGGTCTGGGTGTAGATGTAGCCAGATGAAGCCATCATGATCATGGCTCTACTCTCATCATTAAAGATGAAGGTTACATCACGAATTTTGCCACTGGGTAGCAGGAAATAGTACTGTGGGCTGATAGCATCCACACCAAGATCATATATCTGTGGAATAAAAGCTTGTTTTTACCAAGTCTATTTAAACAAAAAATGGGTGCTTAACTTTATTTATCTATAAATGGAATGATTTTTTTTAATGTAAAACAAAATTTACCTTAACAAAATCAGCTGTGACTATAGCTAATTCAGTTTGGGAACCTGGCAGCCAAATAGCCTGTACAAAAATAAACATGTTTTATATAGAACTTATTGACAAATAACAGTCAAGAAAGAGAAATTATTTTTCTAAAAACATTATGTTTAAAATCTAACAAGTTTTGATAATAATAAATTTCTGACCTTGATAATGAAGTTTCCAGTGGCTAGAGAAGGATGCAGAACTAAATGATCTGCAACAGCTCCAGAACTTGTGAATGTCATCACATGACAATCCTGAATAACAAAACAATTTAGGTTTAAGTTTTACTGGCATTTATTAGTAACTTATCAGTTAGAGACTATGGTCCAGTTTAAAAAAAAAGAGAAAAATTCGACATATAGGAAAGAAATGTTACCTTAAGTCCACAGACAGCCAAGTAATCTTCATTGCAGGGGTTTCCTGTGATGGACAGGACAGTGAATGGGACTGGAGCTGATGACAAGCGCTTAGAAAAAATATTTTGAGTATTTTATTAGATTATGTTTCATGATTTTTGCTTAGAATATTTTTGTGAAACACAAACAATAACACAACTTACAGTTAGAGTTAACTTTTTCTTGCTGGAATCTGCTTGCTTCAGCAGGGCACTCAACTGTAAAATTGTCATTTTTCCTTTTTCATGGCTAACTGCCAGGTGTTGTCTCTTGCCTTGAGGGGAGGACAAAACACACATGGCCACACGACGCAACATGTGAGTGGTGATGAGCTGTCGGATGGCTTGGCCTTGATCTCCACTGTAGTTCATGCGAACATTCTCAAAGGCCCCTTCTTGTGACCCTAATGTAACGGTCTATAAAAGAGAAAAAAGCAATTAACAACTGTAATTGATTAATACGAATACTAGCAATAAGTCTGGAGATAATTACCTCAGAAACTTCAGCAACATCAACTCACTCATACCTCACAATATTTTACTTTATTATTTTAATGTCATAGTTCTAGCATAATTTGTCCTTGAAAAACAAAACCATTGTATATGTGTAGACTAAGGCTGGTCATGCCCACACAATCAAGTTATCAAAACCATTTTATATGTGAAGACTAAGGCTGGTCATGCCCCCACAATCAAGTTATCAGACAGAACTCAAGTAAACCTACAACAGCAGCTGAGCACACACAATAAATATAGAGAGTACTAAAGAAATTACCATGAGTTGATCAGTTGTGGTACTCTCCACTTCCTTGGGTAAACAATGCAGATCTTGTAAAGCCTTTTGTGCATTGATGCTGCTCCCTGCCAATGAAGCAACCTGGTACCTTTGACTCAGGGGTGGTACAATGTCATTGAGAATGTGCAGCACATTGGTTATTGTTTCAGATGTGTTCTGTGAAAATGAACAAGACAATAAGTATGTGACCAAGAAAAGCTGCAATTAACGGATTTAGAAGGTTTATATGTTTTTATAATTAATAAAAATTTCCTTACCAAAAGTGTTAGAAGCTGTTCTCTGTGATTCTGAAGAATAAAAAAACATTTGATAGGGATTTTTAACAGTTTTCTATTCATTATCGGATGATGATTCATATTTACTATTTTTATACTTTGTAATTTAGTGTCCAACTGTTATAATTACCATTAGAAAGTAAAGGATAGGGAAGAGGAAAGCATAAGGAAGAGGAAAAAAGAAATTAATCTTCCTTAAAAGATGAAAACCTCAAGTGAACAGAAGTGCTTTGACTTCTCGTTTAGAGTAGCAGTCAATAAAAGAACAGTAGCCACCTGTATCTGAGCACAAAGAGCCTCTCTTGCCTTGTTGTAGAGCTCCAGTGACCTCAGACCTTCAGATTTACCAGCCTCATTATCAGGGAATGGTGAGAGGCGTCGCCTCAATGAACTGTGGTGTTGGAGGTTCTCCAGTGCAAATGGAGACTGTGATAACGGGGCTACACTATCCAAGCCTCCCAGTGCAGTTCTCTTGATAAGGGCCTGCACACAAATACCAAACAGACATTTAAGATCAGTAAATAACGGATATGATTATTTCTATTTTCTTGACATATTAAAATGCATTTTGAAAACAGTTTTAAATTAAGTGTACAATTTGGAAAAAGGTGTGAACTAACCTTACAGCTTCCATCTTCCTTTGCACCACAATCACAAAAAAAAGAACCAAACTTGGCATAGGTCAAGTCATGATCTTTGTGACACACCTTTGCACACATGGTACACACACCAACTCCATCCACCATCTTGCATGTATGGCAATGATACCTGCAGCAGTTTTTACAAGAGGTTTATTTCATGTCCCATTGATTATAATATTGACTAACAGCAAACTTAGTAATCAGGTAGAATGTTTAGTATTGTGGTATTTTTTAATTATTGCATTTACAATAATAATAGTTAGCAGTTGTTACATTGTTATAAACATTTTACATCGTCATAATCGTTAGTTAGATTGTACAGTTTATTATAGTTAAAGAAAGTTTCTTACCAGTGTTGGTTCATGAACTCTTTCTGTGTAATAGTAAATGTACAAAGCTTGTTGTTTAAAGTCTCTTCATCCTAAAAAAAACAAAAATTACATTAAATTAAAGATAGTATCTTGTTTTACATAGTTTTAAAAAATGTTTAAAATATGATTTCTTAAAATGCTGAAACAGTCCTATATTTATTTTTCTGAGTATTTTCAATTGGACAAATTACTGAAGCAAACAAGTAAATAATTCAAACCGAATCTTCTCCAGCAGAATCCTCATCATCATGACCAAGATCTTCAGCCCAATCTCCTTCAGACTCTTGTGGAGGCAAAATTTCTTGCTCAAAAAGTGGAGAATATGACCTTGCCCTGTCTGTTGTTATTTTTAGAGCTCCCAGGATTTCTCCAATATAGGACAACAAACAACACAAAGTTTCCAGCAGTCCTTGCTGAAAATTTCAGATAAAATAGGTTTGAATAAAAAGCTTGTGACTACAGCATCTTAAACACACTACATTACATGTGTTTAATTAGAAATGTAACAAATAAGAATGTATCACCTTTTCATTTTCATTTGTGATTGCTGTTTCTAATGTTTCTTTAGTGGTCAAACTTGATTTGCTGGAATTTAATAATTATAGATAAAAATCAATGGAGTGAATAAACTATAGCATTTATTAATAAAAGAAAGTATCCATAAATTGTATTGAGTGCAACAATTATTATTATAATAAGTAAAATATTAATTTTGTAATCTAATTATTTAAAAATTTTAAAGTAAAGAGGGAATGTTAGTTACCAGAGCTCCAGCCATTGCTGGGCAGTCTGAAACAAGAGAACATGGCCATAACCACTTCCTGCTCCAGCCAGGGTTTGTAAAATGACCATCAAATCTGGGAAGGCCAGTAAATCAGAGCGCTGACTCGACTCCAAGAGTGGTCCTCCCATGGGAAGAATAGCTTGTAGAATGGTGATCACACCATCTTCACCAATAGGACTGGTAAATAGACTTTTTTGTTAACTTTTTACATGAGTAATTTACATTTTTTGTAAAATTTATTTAATGTGATCATGTACTGAAATTTCAATTATCTTAACACACCCCAATGGAATTTATATAAGACAGTGAAAAGCTGTCAGAATAATCCTGTTAGTCCACACAGAAACAAGCAGACTGACAATTAGGCATTAACATCTAAAGACTTTTAAAAATAAAAGATGTTGATACTGGCAATAAAGAACACTGTGTACCAGCAATTGCTGAGCCAAAGAAACATCTCAACTACTAAAATTTCATATTTAACATTATTTGAATTTATGGAACACACAAAAAAAAAGCAAGGTGTAAGCTTGCGATAAGCCAAAAAAAAATCTATTAACCCCTTTACCGTGTGTCACGAGTTAACTCGTCATATAAAATCTGGGCTTAACCGTACATCACGAGTTAACTCGTCTTCAGATAAAAAAGTCGTCTGTGTGCCGTGCGTCGCGAGTTAACTCGTTTTGATACGAAAATAGCATTGGAAATCAATAACAATGTAGAGGGAGGCTAATCTAACAGCCAATTCAACAGCGTATGATAAAAATAGGTCATCACGTGATGTTGGTACTGTGCTTTTGAATTACCTTCTTTATATTTACCTCATAAATTCTAAATGGCAACTCATTTTCACTCAAAATGATGTTTTATTTTGTCAGGACAACATAACAAATCAAATAATGAAAAAAAAAATACACTATTTCCAAAAGAAAATTATTTTTTTTTTTACACGGTAAAGGGGTTAATCAAGTAGTTTCCTAGTAATTTTATGGGATTAATAAGTCACATAAATAACAAACCTTCTTTCTCTGACAATATGCTGAAACAAAGTCTGCAATAAATTGTTGTTTTCTCTGACCACAGTTTCATCAGAGGTTTCCTGCAGACACACAAGTTGATGAAAATTAGAATCTGTTAAAACATTACAAACATGGAATCACATAGCAAACTAGGTGTGCATAACTACATCTAATGCAGTAATATTTACCTCTAGACCTTTGATGATTTTAGTCAGGAAATTCTGTAAATCTACTTTGTCAACTGTGGCAAGCCTAGTCAGACCTTGACAAAGGGCACGCAGGTTTTCATCATTTGGCTCTCTTTCAGCTTGATGAGAGAAGTCAAATTATTTTTAATGACATATGGATAACAAATACTTTATCATAATAAACCATCAAAATATAAAATATATTTTAAGAATGCAATATATCAGTATTACAAAAACAATGAATTCAAAGAATAAAATTATTAAATTAATTTACCAAGATGGAAAAGTTTGATGAAAAATCTCAGGATGTGAGTAGTGTATGTATCACTCAAATTGCTTCTTGCAACTGACAGCAAAAGTGATGTAATATCTGTACAGATGAACGAAGAGTAATTATTGTAACAGGTGGTCAAAATTTTCAAGTAAACTACAGTATAAAGTCTATTTAAAAACTTTCAAATATGTACATTTTACCTGCATTGTCAGTGTAGACTGCAGTGAAGGCTTTCCTGGCAGCTGGTTTCTCCAAATTAGTCTCAATAAACTTGATACATTCATAGAGAATCTTTTCATCCAAACCACTAAAATGGTTAGTACTCATTAATATAGAGAGCCAAATCATTATTTTGAATTAACTTTTTACTTTTTTGTTATTTTTTCACTTACCTATTACAGCTGAAATTGGGTCTTGGGGAATTTTTTTCATTAAAGATAATTTTTAAAACAATATTTAACTACATTAATTGTAATCTCCATGTGCTGCTTCCTAAAGTATATGAAGTCTACCTTTCAGCATCAGAGAATTCCACAATCACTTGGTCACAAGCTTGTATAGCATGCTTGTAAGCTTTCTCTTCAAATCTGGCTTCTTCTTGTGGACCCAAGAACTTTTCTTTCAGATTCATTACCTAAGACACAAGAAAAAAGTTACAACACCAGCAAAAGTTAACAAAAGGCCTGCATGTGCCTAGTTTGTCTTAATAACCAAGGACTCAAAAGTTAAAAAGAATTACCATGTCCTTAAGGTACTCGGTGGTCACATCATAGATGAGAGGAAACATGACCCTTATCAGCTCAGAGCTATTGGCATCATCAGGACACCATCTGTCAAGTTTTCAAACAATTGTACAGATTACACAACGGATTACATTTGTTCATAAACTTGGGGTTTTTTTAAATGTCAAACCTGAATTATTTGACTAGGACAATTAAAAAAAAAAACTTACACAATTAGATCACTTCCAAAACGGACCAGTGAATGAAGAACATGTCTCAGAGATGCATTTATACAAAATGGTGATTGACCTGATTAAAGTTAGAATCAATGTAGACAAAATTTTGGCTTAGCAACAACAAATACAATACATAAAATTAAGTTATTTTTATCACATATGATTACTGATTGATAGGTGTTTAAGTTCTACATAAAATAACTATTAATGAATAAACTAAGTAAATATATTGTAGTTGTATTTTTTACACAAAAAAAACACATAGGAAGATTAAATATTGAATTAAACTGGATAAATTGATAGGAAAACTGTGTATACCAGATAGTGTGACCATATGAGCACTATGGATGGCATCAATGTAGCTCTCACTAGGGATGGGATCTGCTGCAAACGCGTTTCTCTGTAAACATAAATACATAGTTATTTTTACCTTAGTCTTACTGAACCTATTGTCACTTCAACCTTCAAACTCACAACTAGACAACCCTGAGCCAGAGAAGTAGCAGAAAGAATGAATAAAAAATGTGAAACTAGGCTCACCCATGCTCCCATGGTAGGAAACTCATTGCCCCCACTACTGTTCCATTTGTCCACAGCATTCCTCACAGAGCTGGGCAAGAGGCCAACAACACTAGACCCTAGGCCTTTGACAGCACTGGGATGGCTTGAGCCAACACTCAGCACCTGACCAAATGCCTTCAGACGCTGGCTGGTTAAAGTTTTATCCTCTGGTGTTGCCACTTTGGTCAAGATGCAGGATCTACAAGTATTTATGTAATATTTATTATTTTCACAAAAATTAAATAAATATGCACAGTATAATGACAAACAAAACTGCAATAGTTTTCACCTCTTTTACTGAATTTTTTCCAACAAATTTAACATATAAGCTACAACTTTAACGTAATTATATTTTCTGGGTTTAAATGCCGTATTGAAAAACCTGTTAGGATTGTGTTTAATGAAGTTACTGTCCAAGCTAGCCAATCTAGACATACATTACAAACACTAAAAGCAACAAATAAACTAACCTGGCAAATGCACTAAATGCTTCTATGAGAGTAAAAATGGCAGGAATCAAGTCTTTAGTGAACTGCATTGCTTTGTTGGGTTCTGGATCAGTCTAAGATTTTAATAAGAAATAAAGAACAAAACCAATGTGTTAATTTTTTTTAAATAACATGCCAATGCTAAAAAAAATAAGTAGAATAGAATAGGTATATTTTTTTAAAAATATTTAAAGGTAAGCTCACCATTGCTTTAGTGTAAGTTTCATCTAATGACACCTGACATTTGGCCACCATGGCATCGAGAATAAGGATATCTGACATTCCTGGCAGATCTTTTGAGCTTAGTTCATTTGTTGAAATACATGGCAGTTTTGAAATCTGGAGATGTTGAATTTTTTTTTAATATTTGAAACTCTAATGACAAAACCTATTAACTGTTAATACTTTATCCTTATGTCTTTGCTTTAAAAAGTAAATAAAATAGTAAAAAGGATATTTTACCTGTTCCCTTATGTAGGACATGGCAAGCATCACATCAAATCTGCTGGTATTTGTGAGGGCTGCAGCTGTCTCCACAATCTCAGTTGCTTCTGTAGGGTTGAGCCCTTGTTTCACTAAACATTCCTGAAACAATAGAGCTCGAAGTTAATATAACATAAATATTGGTTCAACACTTTATATCATTTTAAAAGTATCTATTCTAATGCTGAAGCCATAATAGAACTTACTTGAGTCCACACTCCATAATACTTGTGCCCAATGCGAGGTGCCCACCGCAATGTATGTAGTATGTAGGCACCTTCCATAGACACATTTGTGTTCTTCAGAAGATGAATGTAATCAACTGATGGGGGTAGGCAAGACAGCAAACGCCACAGTAAAAGAAAATGGTAGTGCATTGCTGATGCATCCTGAATGTAAAAGAACAGCAAATTTCAATATAAAGTTTCTAAGTCTGAAAATGTTCATTTAACTTCCATGAATAAATTTTAAAAGCAGACTTTACCAGTAAAGACAATTTTTCTTTAGTTTTATCACACTGTGACCCTGCCATCAGAAGTCTGATACAAGAGGAGTAGAACTGGTTATAGTTGAGCTTGTATTCACGGCCCAGCAGAACACCCAGGGCCTGTGGATAATAAATACTTCTTTTGTTAGCATTTACTCAACTGGGGTGGGGTCCAGTCTAACAATAATATTAAGTTTACATTAAAAAAAACTTACGAGCCCATCAATTTTAGCAACATCTTGAATGTTGGGGTCAGGTGGACATAAGTGGTAGAACCTTGGCTTCATGGAACCTACTTTAATGAACACAAATTTTTCTCTGATAAATTATGTGCAACAAAAACAATTACATATAAAAGTGAATATGGATGGTCAATACTGTACATTATAAACAAGTACAGTGACTTTAAATTTTAGTGCACAGATTAGTTTTCAGAACTCTGCAGCTACAATAAGTTTATTTAATACCTTCAGAAGCCTCAGGTGGTTGTAGACTCCTTCTGAAGTTCTCCTCTACTTCTCGACATGGGAAATATTTGATGGATTTAGTGGAGGTCTCTTTATCTCCAGATTGAGCGTACAAGGTAAACAGATTGTGTTGGACCTGACAGAAACAAAAGTTAGTTTAAAACCTAAGGAACACTTTCAGAACATACAGATGAAGTAGAGTTCATGTTTTTCTCTGACCTCAACTTATGAAGGAATACTGTGGTTAAATATATTGGGAAAATTCAGTTTAAGAATTATATAAACAGACAGGAGCTGAGTAATCATAAAGAATGGTTTAGTCTTGTCCTCAAAAACTATTATATTATTAACCATACAATGATAACAGTTTAAAATTTCACTATTAATTAAGCCAAGAAATAAACGAATTAGTGTTTCAGTACCTGTTCCATGAGTAGAGCTGGTGGATCATAAAAGAAATGCAGTAGATATTCAAGTATCAGTACCAGTCTACTGAGGGCCAGAGGGACAGTTCTTTCCATCCGACTTTTAAAGTAAAAGAGTTTTAAAATAAAAGAGTTTTAAAATAAAAGAGTTTTAAAATAAAAGAGTTTTAAAATAAAAGAGTTTTAAAATAAAAGAGTTTTAAAATAAAAGAGTTTTAAAATAAAAGAGTTTTAAAATAAAAGAGTTTTAAAATAAAAGAGTTTTAAAATAAAAGAGTTTTAAAACAAAAATAATTAGAATACTTTTTCAAGTTTTCAAAGAATGTTAATATTAAAATTTTTTAATAAAATAAATATTTCACACTATCTTATTAAAAATTTATAAACAAATTGTTAACTGACTTTTATTAGTAAACTTCACTTACTTGCGTTCAGTCTGAGAAACATCCAGAATTATCTGACAGATTTTGATAAGGATTCCTTTCTTTTGTGCAAGACGTAGACCATGAAACAGAAACATTAGCACCTGCACATGTTCCACATTAACATCTGCAAACAGAAAAAGATAAATGATTTGTTTTAATGTTATTTTAAGCATTAATTTGTATTATCATTTTGTTTGTATTTATTTATGTGACGTGTATCAAATAATATAGCATCAATAATGACATAAGACTGAAGGTACAAATATTAATTGAGTATAGATTAAAAATTTATTATAAACAAAAGTACTAATCAAATTAAAAAGTTTTAATAACCTTCCATAATTTCAGTTTTATTTTCAGAGTTTTCAACAGCTGTCTGAAGGTGTTTGAGAAACTTGTCCCATATAGCTATAACTGCATTGTCAGCAGATCCTGCTTTAAGCTCTTTGTCCCCTCTCTCCTGTTGTTGTCTTAACAACAGCACACTGACCAGTACAGACAGACATCTTGGGTGGACAGTGAGTGGCCATGGGTCAGGACTTGTAGGACTTACACCCAGACATGTCAAGTAGCAATCCTAAGTGGGAACAATTTAACATTTTGTAAAAAAATTAGCAAAAAATATCCCTATGGTTTTATGCTAATAACATTCTTTAGTCTTCTCGAGATCACATAATAGTTTTGAAAATCATTATTAAACCACTGTCATGTTACAAAAATGTGTTTTTAATACTGCATTTTTAATCTGATTATGGGAAAAAAGTAACAGCATTTAGTCATATAAAGAATATTGGAGATATGACACACATAAAGTAAAATAAAAAAAATTTCACCTGTAAACTTTCTGACAAAACTTCAGTAGCAATCAAGTTATGGTTAAATCTTGCCAACATCACAGAGACAGATGTGTAACCTTTGTCTGAAAGAAAAATGGTTTATTAGATGTCTGAATTTCAACCAGATAAATTCTAATTTTTTTAAAAATATTTCCTTTGCTTCCAGAGTTGGAAAATTTTAGTTGGTAAATGAATTCCTTTTGGAATCCCATGAAAATGAGTATAAAAAAGTTTTGTATAAGGCTAAGTTGAAAAGAGGTGAAAGCTACAAACCATTGTCCACTCTAGCACATTCTTTGTCCAAGTCTTTAGTTAGTTGAGCAATCAGTGAAACTTGCTCCTGTGTGATTGAGGACCTGCAACATAAACATGTTAAGACAATCACCACGCTGTTCATAAAAATAAAAACCTCACCTTTACTCTATTTAAACACAAAATTGTGATAATTTTACCTGGTTATAAATCTGATGTTTTCATTGCGTGAAGTCAGGAGATGTGTGTTCAAAAAATTCATTATGGTGCTGACCAAGTTGGTGAACTGTTTAAATTATACAAGAACAAGTATTTATAAGTGTAGACTATCAAATTTTTAAAAATTGTGAAGTATTGTTTTCAAACAAAATTAACTTCAGTTACTGATACAAATAAAAAGGCGAAATGAATGTAAACTCATTTATTTATTTTTTAAAACAAAACAATTTAAAAAATACTGTAAAAGAAGAGTTACCCCTTCAGGCTCCCGTTTATCTGGGACAAAGCTTGGACTTCTTTCTCCAACACTTGTCTCTCTTTGTCTTTTCCCCTCACCCCCTAAAGCATCTACACGAGGGGGAAGAGGTGGTGGTGGTGCTGTGTTGGTTGAGTCACAGGGTGACAGAGCCTCCTCTAGCCATTGACCAAGTATAGGCTCTGAGTCATCATCTGCAACATCATGAAAAATCATCTTTTGAAATGTCTAAGCAAGAGAGTTGTGGATTCAAGGAATTTAATAAATAATATCATGTCAGAAAGTTAATGTCAAAGTAAAGTGTTTTCATTAAAACTGCATCTTTCACTAGAGCATTCAACCAAAAAAAAAAACCAGCTCTATAGTTGATAACAGAAATTCACCCAGTTCAGCATTTAATGGAAACTAAATGCTAACCTTCACTGCTCTCCTCTGATGTACTGAAGTCATCCTCATAGAATGTATTGGAATCTGATGTGCTGCTGCTACTGATGGTCTCTTGAGAATCAGAACCTTGCTTCATGCGCTTCAAATAAACTGCCTATTAAACAGAAATTTTAAAATTATAAACACTTATTCAAGTTCAACCATTTATTTTAGAAAAAGCTTAACTCTTTTCAATTCTCTCCCTTAGCTATCGTTCTTATAAGATCGACGCAGAAATGTGTTTTTTTTATAATAATCCCGAAGCTTTTTTATTTTTTTAAAATTGCATTATTTTCCTAATTGTTTTAGCATTTATAAAAAACACACATAAAATGCGAAACTTATTTTCTTTTTGTGAAAAAAAGCGAAAGAAAACGCTTGAACCGAGCATGCCTTGCTTACGCCATTTTGGATTTTTAGTGAAGTCGATTTGAGACAGACTCTTCGAATTAAATGAAAATAAAATGTTTAACACCGCAAGTGATATGAGTTTTTGTGGTGAATCGTCTGATAAAGATATTGTGGAAACAGAATTCGAAGATTCAAACGATGATTTGGGAAATATCTCACTCAGTTAATAACTCAACACAACATAGGGACTGACATCGGTGAGTTGACAACTTTTTTTTTCAATGTTAAGACTGAACATTTTTAATTAAATTGCCCCACCATGAACTTAATCATTATAACAAGCACTCATATTAATTACACCATCCTCTTCTGGAAATATCGATATAATATGAAGTATTTATATTATTTATAAAATATTAAATAAAAATAAAATAAAATGCACCATTCACACCAGTAAATTAAAAATAATGGTTGCTAAGGAGCTGTTTACAGTGTATGCTCTAGCATCTTGTAGCTTTGTCTAAATATTTCTGCTTTGTATTCACTGTTAACTAGCTATAGTTGCTTAGTTTCTAATATATATTTTAAGTATTTCAATATTCTCTTGTTTTTATAGCTATTACATTATTTTATATTCTAAGTATTAGGCCTATATTTATAATAAATCATCTAGCCAAGTCAACATATATTTCATGTTTTGATTTCAGACCCAAGACAGCATCCTGATGTAGATGGTGGACCTCCAGATCCTAAATTCCAACCTGCTAAGAAACATGGAACACTTCTTAGTCAATGGGGACATTTTAACTAAAAGAGCTGCTAGGGAATCCCTTAGCCCTGTGTCATTTCGTCAAGCTGTACTTTACAGTGGATATGGTGAAGACAATTGTTATGTATACCAACGGTTATGCAGCACACTGTGGACTTACAAGACCTATTTCCAAAAGGTGGTAAAATTTAACTATAGATCTATAGATGAGTTCTTTTTTTAGGTTTGCTGATGTTTGAAGACAAGACACCACAGACTTCCACCTCTGGCTTATCTTATGATGTAGTTACCATATCGTCACAATCAGTCTTGCGTGAGGTATATCTTTTATTTTTTGACAGCTTGTACACTAAACTTAAACTATTTAAAGATCTTTTAAATGTGAAATTGGTTTTTGTGGCACAATTATAAAAATAGGAAAGGTTTTCTTATTGCCCTAAAAGATAGGTCTTTTGAAAAAGTTTCAAAAAGAGGTGACATGCTATGGTTTAGCGAGGGTGACATTGTAACAGTTGAGTGGCGCGATAATAAAACAGTCTGTGATGTCAATCTTTGAGACAACTTATGGTTCAGTAAAGGTAAACAGCAGAACATAGGTAGGAGGTAATTATACACAGTTGTATGTTGATCAAGCAATTAGTATTCAGGAAAATAAGTAATAAATAATGGGGGGGGGGTCAGTACTAAGTGTCGCAATTGTGATACATATCTGTATTCACAAAAAGAGTAACTGTTTGTTATAATTTCACAAATCTTCTTGAATCTTGTTGTTTTTATTTTGCTTATCCTATTTTATATTAATTTATTTGCAGATTACTTTTTTATAAATTTTTTACTTATTTCCCCTTACACAGGTCATGTTATTGTTTATTGTATATTTTTTTTAGTTCTTGTCCTAAATGCATCACATAACCTTTTTTAAATGCAGAAATGATTTATCTATCCAATAAACATTACTTTGTTTCATTATAGGACTTGGCTTATTTTTTTTGTTCTTGGTGTTTTTCATGTAATTGTTTTTAAAAAAGTAAAATCAATTTTAATTAATTAATTAATTAATTGTGCCATCAAGGCCATACCTGCTACATTGGATTTTTTAATCTCTGCTGATTCTCTATTCAATTACCTAAAGAATGGTGCATAACACTATATACTTTCCTTGTTTAATAATGTCTAGTGGACATTTTACAATTGAGACCAGTGTACTCCAATATTTTTCTACTAAACCTGAGAATTGTAAAGAGTTAAGTAAGAATCATTAAATCAAACCTTTTTGAAAGCTGTTGACATGAGCTGTATCATCAGGTCAGGAAGGCAAATAGTTCTTAGCAAATGTTTTACTCTTGCCCAGGCAGTTAGATTTTCTAACAAATTTATCTCAAGTCCTGTTTCATCACCGGGAGGGGAACTCTGAAAACAATTTTTTTAAAATGTATTAAGAAATGTACAATACTTTTTCTATTATTCACAGAGTGTGCCCACAAAAAATTGGTCATTAAAATTATTTCAGTCCATCCAATGTCAAAAATAAAAGTATTTAAAGAAAGTTGTTCAGAAATGTTATAACAAAGTTATCTATGCAATAAACATTACACACATATACAGAAAGTTAATTGTCAATTGCATAAAATAAGGATTATAATACAGAACATCTAAATATAAGTCAACTCACTGAAATATTTTCATCTGATCCTTCCATGTTCAAGTCTTCTAAAAGTGGTGTCAAAAGTTGGATAGCATTCGTTGCTAGGGCAACAGCTGTAACACTCAGGAATGGAGGACCACTGAACAAGAGAATTTTAAAATCATTTTAAAATGCTGGCTATTCACTTCTTTCATATTATACATCAGATTGGGAGATACAGAGGATGGTAATGTGAAACAAGTGAGTAATCGGAAGATGAAAAATGTGATACCTTTTAGCAGATGTTGGTCTTGCTGGCAAATTTGCTGGTTCCTTCTTGGGTGTTGCCTCTGCTGGTGTTTTGGGCTTGAAGTCTTTCCTTTCCAAAATGGCAGCTGGTGTGAGCAACAAGATACCTTGTAAACCTTTTAATGTTTCCCAAGCAGCAAGAAGATTTAGATTCTGAGCCACCTACAGTTTCAAAATAAAAAGAATAAGACATTACAGAATTTTTATTCTAATTAACTATCCTTATACTACATTTAAAAGCTATTAAGTATTCTAGAAACAACAGCTTTTTATTTATTTTTTAAAATTGTCACTTACACTTCCACCAGCTCTGGTTGATGTTTTTACTGCTGAAGAAACCCAATTAAAGATTTCAAGCTGTAAAAAAATTGATTACTGGTTATTTTTTATACTTTTCAGATAAAACCTCTATTTTGATAAACAATAATGAAAATCCTGTAATGTTTTACTCAGTTTAATTGTTTTCCAATATCATTTGTAAATAAATATCACATTTTTTGCTATTGAAATGTAAACATACACTTTTTTGAACTATACTATGTCCTTGATTGTCCATCTCCTCATCTTTAGCGCCTGGTGCTTGTGAAGGACCAGATGGCCGTACAGCATTCACCACTGTGTCAGCAGTCGCAACAGAAACTGCAGCAAATAAGCATCCAAGTGTAATTTCTACAATGGTCTTCAGTCTTTTAGGTGTCAAAGGTTCTAATATTGGCAATGAAAATGCCCTCCATACATCTGAAACTTCTGTCAGTAAAAACTGGTACCTGTAAGTGAAGAAAATCAAAAATAAATGGTGGGTCTAACACAAAATTTTCCTTCTAAAACATAATAGCAAATTAAGGATTCTGTTAATTGAATGAATTTTACAAACCCATTTCTTGTAGTCAAAGCTTGGGAAAGTGTTCCAGGAAGAAGGAAAGCAGAACCTGCAAGTGCATCCTTGTAACGTTGCATGTACTTGCTGAGAAATGTCAGCTGTGTGCAGACACCCAGCAGAATATCAGCCCCATTCATATTCAGTAGAGACTCCGTATTTTTCTGAGCAAAAGCATTGCTTAAATCTTCTGTACCCTCTGAAACTTGGGCTACAAAAAAAAAGATTTGTAATAAGTACAAATACTTAGACAAACTTCTTAAATATACTACAAGATATAACATATAAAGTACTTACATATTAATGAAACTGGAGTCTTTGGTTCTTTGTCTGTCAAATCAGTTGTCATATCAGATTTTGAAGCTGATGATGTTGGTATCATGTCGGAAAATACTGAGGTCATTTGATCAAACAAGTCTGTTTGTGTGTCTAATCTTGGTAGCTTTTTGTCTTTTGATTTCTCTTTGTCAGGGGCATCTAAAACATAAGCAACATTTTAACATTTTAAACCAATTATCATAATAATGTATTTTGTTATGTTGAAATAAGCTGCATGTATTTATTGACAAGAGACTGACCATAATTCTTTTCTTCCTTTGAAAATGGAGGTTCTGCTGGCTTGAACAAACAGTTAAAGGTCACCACATCTGATCTGGACAAGCACTGACCTCCACGACATAGGCCATTTATTAGAATCACTAGATACTTCTAAATCAAAAGATACAAATATATTTTAGATTTTGAAAAAAAACATAGATATGTTTATACATTATGACACTTTTAATCCAAAGGAGCAGACAAAATTTCTTTAAACAGAGTATGTTAGAAATTATCATATACTTGTTCTATATTATATTTTAAAGATTTAAAAATGTTCATGATTATTTCACAAATTTAGAAGTTATTAAATTGTCAAAAGTTTTTGATTTTTTAATTTCAGTAGTCTTATTAAAGAAAAACAAGATACAGGTAGAATAAATCATAAAGTATAAACTGCATACTGGTGTAACTGCACAAGCTTTATTGGGTGTCTCCAATCGGTTGAGAAGAAAAGACAGCAATACTTTACAGGCAGAAGCAACTTGGGGAAGATTAGACTTGGATACTGAAATGAAATAAATATCTAACAAATAAGTGCATGACAAAGTTAAATGATTTCTTATTGTAATTTAAAACTAATGATACAAATTATTTAAAAGTAACAGTCCCAATCACTCACATGATCCAGACAATGAACATAAAGCATTGCTAGCAAGAGCAACAAAGAGTGAGAAAAAGGCTTCACTTTCCTCTGCATGGTTAAGAATTTCTTTCTCCCTAAAACAAACAAAATAAGTATTTATAAAAATATTATTTTAAATAACCAATATTGAATGTGTACTAAATTAATTAATAAACTTATAATAAAAAGTAATCAAGTAAACAAATTGATTTGCCCTGGAAACAAAAAAAAATTAATTGAACATACTAGAATTATTAAAAACTTAAACTGTTGGATAAGAGTGGTGTGAATTTTGTATTGGTTTTAGTATATACACATAATTATTATTTGAACAACACCTGGTATTGTGTGTGTGGTGGGAGGGAGGGGGTGGGGGGTGTTATCTGATCAAAACAATGAGCTTTAAATACAAAATGAATTATCTGCTTTCTATACCAGAAAATGTTAAGAACAGCTTTTTTTTCTCTTTGAAAATAAAGAGCCTGAACAAATTTGACAGTACAATGACCTGGTTTTCTAGGGTGATGCCGCTTTAATATAAACATGTTTTATTAATATTAAACATGCATAGACCTATAACATTTATTTATAATATTTTGATTCCCTTTGTCCCCCAAATTAATAATGGTGGAATTCTATTTTTAGATAAATGTTTATTTTACTATCTTTAGGCCCTATAGTTTATTAGGTGTAGTGTAAGGTATAGGCCTATATTTCTGTACAAGGCAAATAAAAAATCCTTTGGTTCTTTTGATTATCAGTTAAATAATGCATACTAAATATTGAAATATCCTAAAAACTTATGTAATTAATAATAAATAATATCAATGCAAAAAACACGGTAATAAATTAAACACCTTAAGCTATATTAACCGCTGATAGTATTGATATAGATAACTGATCTCTATTGACCAGAATGCCAAATTTGTACAGTGATACTTTTTTTTACTATTTTGGTGGCCATGATGATGAAACCATTTAAATGAGTTACTCAGTTGTGTTAAGTTAATATTAGTTAATAAGGCTATTTCTGCTGGCCTTATTTTGGCTGTAATTTTAGTTTTGGTAATCAGATTGAAAGGCCTAAATGTTATACTTTTTATGGAATTAATTAATTATATTCCTATAAAATAATTGGATGAGATAGGTTATTAAAAAAAAAATTATTAGGTAAAATCTTAGTTTAGCGTCGTAAATTCCAGCGTAGCTAGTAATGTGCGATGAAGGTAACTAATGAATATTTCTTTCATTTGGCCAAATTTATGTCATATTTTACATAATATAACAGATAATTGAATAACAAATCACAATCCAAGACCAAACCAGTCATAAATATCCTGGAATAAACTTTAAACTACTCCGTTCGAGACAACAATGAGTAAATACAAGCAGCGGCCATGTTTTAAAAACAATAAATTGTCTATTCGCATGTCTTTAGTGTTGATTTTGTGGTTTAATATGATTGTTTTGTATTGCTTTAATATATGCCGGGGGTCGTCCATAAATGACGTCACACTCGTAGGGGGGAGGGGGGTCCGTAATTTTGTGACGTTGTGTGATTAGGGGTAGGGGGGGGGGGGGGGTTCAGATAGTGCGACGTCACACTTTTGCATTTTAAAAAAGCAATGTTAGAAAACGAATTTTAGACGTTATTTTGCGTTTTAAAAAACTGTTTTAATACATTGTAATAACAATTGATTAAAATACTCTATTCTGACAGAGTTCAGACAAGATTTTGGAAAAATATAGCTGTTTAAAAACAATTCAACTGCAATTTTGAGGGGGGTTGTAGGCTGAGGTGTGACGTCATTTTAGGGGGGGGGGGGGTCTGGTTTTTGTGACGACGTGTGACGGAGGGGAGGGGAGGAGGTAAAAATCGTCAAAAAAAGAATGACATCATTTATGGATGACCCCCTGTATAGTAATTTTTCTTTTTTTTTTTAATATAGTTGACATGAATGACTAATAGACCTTATCAGACTTAATAGTGTGCATCCATGACCACAACAATTGTTGGGAGGTCGAACTTTTGAACACTTTATTTGCAGTAAGTTGAGTAAGCAAATCAATATTAGATCGCTCATAAATGACGTCGCTCTTGAGATAGTAATGACAGCGTGCATTATTACAGAGCAAACATATGAACATATTGTTTCAGATAGAAATTGTTATTTGTGGTGGGGAGAGGTTGAATAGAACTCAGCGATGTGATTTTGGAGACGGGTCAGGTTTTTTTTTCGTGAAAACGGGATGGTTGTGGGAGAAAGACCAGCTGTAGAAGTATGACGCGTCATTCATTGGTGATCCATTTTCTCAGTGGGGACGAAAGAACTATTAAGAAGGGTCAAGAAATGTAAAAAGCTTGCCGAGTCGCATTTCTTGAACCCCCACCTTTTTCATTCCCCCACTTAGCACATCGTCACCGAGTTAACGCTCGCACGTGACGCCATGTAGCGGTACCGCCGACCGTTAGGCTAATTTTATAGAAAAAAAACAACAAGCACTGCCTTTTTGACGCTTTTGCGACGTTTAATTTGATTACATAAGTTGGTGTTCATTAAACGGCCCCTAACACATCTATCACTCGTCCATTTAAACGTACGTAGTTATTTCTGCAAGCTTGCTGTCTTGAAACTTTCGGCCTTTAAAAATGTATTAAGCTCTCACCGTATAGAACTAGACTACCCATATTAAGCTCCAAAAGAAGCTTGGTGAAAACAGGATGGCCGTCCGATTTTGAAGCTGCTCTGCGCTTTATAAAAAGCACAATAAACGATAAGATGACACTTATTAAAGTAAATTATAGTTCTGAATCTTGATACATTAAAAGTGATATTCGGAAATTAATAGCCAGACAGTCAACATGATATTTCAATTTAAGTCCAAAAAATAAATTTCCTCAAACGATGGAACATTACTAAATTTTCGCTTAGTTTAGCGAAATTGAATTTAAGTATTTACGTCATCTTACAAAGCGCGATAGCCTACTGGTGCTCTAACGCGGCCCATGCTAATGGCCGTATTCCTAACGCCCTGCATTAGACGCGGCTTATTCGTCGGCAGGCATTTGGTGGCAAGCCTTTTTGACGGGGATAATGTGTTGCGGCCGTTTTGCCGAATGTCTTAAACTAGCAGGCTTGCAACATTTGTGATGATTCGTTTTAAGCAAGGTATACGTATACTAATGCTTATTTATCGTTATTTTGATTTAACAAAGCATTATAGAGGTTCTCCATCAATCACCTAGGTATTTTTCCCCGTTCACCCCCCTTCGTTCATGAGACCGACACGTCATAAATTGCAAAGCCGCCTGAGTTGACGTCACAAATCTTCACTCACTCCCGTAGCAAATCATATGTGACATCATTTATGGACAACCCCATATCACTCACTTGTGTACTTGATATTGACAATTTGACAACAAAGGATAACCAAAATGTGTCTGGCAGGTGGAGACTTGCGATCGACCATAAATAATGACAACACGCACTTAAGGGGTGGACTGGCTCATTGTTTTAGATGATGTTTTACGAGGGAAGCTGGTGGATAATACATTTTGTCTCTCTGTATATATAAATGATGACAAACATTTAATGTTGTCAAAATTATGGTTAGAGATCTTAGATAAGGCAGAGTGAAGCGTAATTTTTTATATTATGACTTGTTGTGACATTGACGACAAAAATATGACGGAGGTTGGGGTTTAATTAAGGTAAAGAGAAGTAAAAAAATGTCATAAGTTACGATAGAATTACTAATTGATGAAAAGAAAAACCTGAAATGAAAATAGTGAACATTCAAACAATAAGAAAAAACTCACAACTATTTAGTAATAGTAAGATCAAATAAACATTAGTAAAAAAAAAAAACGTGATTTAATACATGGATACAAGTTGCATCTCACAATGCTTCTAGAATTAATAAAGTTGTTTGTTAGGAAATTCACATTTAAAAAAAAAATGCTTTGTAATACGGACTACACAACAAGACGATCATATTTAAATACATTTTCATATGAATAGAAATTAAAGGGAAGCTACTCTCAATAACATTTTCTTAAGATGGCTGCTGTTTTTAATAGCAAATTTACTATCTCGAACAGGGTTGATAAAAATTAATTTCAGGATATTTAAATTGATTTAACCATCAATGGTGATCTATTATTCAATTATCTATAATACTTTATCAAAATATACGAAAATATACTCATATTTAATGACATATTCATTAATTCACTCTCTCCCACATTACTAGTTTTGGCCGAATTTACGACGCTAAACTAAGATTTTACCAATTATTATTTTATCATCATTTAGTGACATTTAGACTCATTTAGTCATTAGTGGGTGATTTAGGCCTACATTTTTATCATTTACTAGCCTATAAAACTAACTAAATTAATTCAATGTAAGCCTAGGCCTAATGACCAAAGTGTAAGCCTAGTTGAGCTACTAGTACTTCTAGAATTTTCTAGATTATTCTAAAATCTTGAATTATAGTATAGGCTTTAATAATATCGATAGGGCATAGGGGGAGGTAACTAGACTTGAAAAACTATTTTTAACTCCAGCTCATAGCTGAAACCGGACTTCATAATTTTAAAAATGCAATGTATCTAGCATAACAATGTAAACATTAATTTATGAAATTGAATTAATGCTACCTTTCTATAATTAGTTTAGATATTTCTTGCAAATCTTTTTTGTCAAGTGAGGAATACGACGATGTTAGTAAATTCTTAGCGGCGGACCAAGTCAACCCACCGTCCGATGACATCGCCATTTTCTGAATATGGTTAATCTAACGGACAAAACATTTTTAAAGGAAAGGCATAACTCCATCCTGTTAAAATACACGAACAAGTGAGAAGACTGTATTTTTATTGCTAGATCTAAATAAAATAAAGCGAACTGTTTTAAATGAAACTTTTTCGGTGCACACTAAAATGTACTTTTTAAAAAATCGTTTACAAATGTAAATAGACCTCTAGGCAAGCCTATAACCTAGAAAGTATTGGACCAGTGGCGTAGCTAGGGGAGGGCGGGTGCGGCGGCCGCCTCGGACGCCGAATTTAAGAGGCCGCCAAAAGGGGTAGAAAAATCAATTTAAAAGCTCGTTTTAGCTGAAGTATTGAATTAAACACTGTCAAAGTTACGAAAATAAACGACTCCAAGGTTTTACACATTGCAGACTCCAAGGTTTTACACATTGCGTTAACTGTTTTCTATATCAATTTTGAGGCGCCGAAATAGAAAATTGTATGGGATAGTAACTGGTAAGAAGGGCCACAAATTTTTCCAACAGGAATAACGATATATAGAAATGGGAGGGAGGGGCGCAAAATTGATGGTCTGCTCTGGGTGCCGGAATAAGTCGCTATGCCTCTGTCTTGGACCCAGACTTTTCGGTGGAGGGGGAACACCCCCCCCCCCCCCCCCCCCCCCCGCTGTGAAAATTGGAAAACGATTTATTTTAAAAGGCTATAGAACAGTCAGTGATGAATATCTAAAATAATAATTGTGAAATGTAGGCTATATCTTGTAGTCAGCGACTGTATCTCTGTGTTGGTTAATTAATGCACCTACCAACGACATAACTCATTGACTGACTGACAACACATTTGAATTTATATGCTGTTGGATGCGGATATAATTGCTGAATCCAAAGTGTCACAAGCATATTATCCAAAAAGTTCTGAAAAAGGCCAGAAAGAAAAAATCCACGGAGGGGCTTTTTGTGAATATAGAAGGCAGTGGGGAGGGGGGATAATCTGCCAAATTGACAATGGGTCATCCATTAGGACGTGATTATACTTTTAAAACTATTTTACTTACCCCTCCCAATCGTCACTAATTGTCACAAAAAGCCAGACCCCCCCCCTAAAATTACATCACACCTGGATCTACACCCATTTTTCGTTTTTTAAATTTTGATTTCTCTCTAACATATTACTGACAGTGTTTCTTCCAGACTTTTCTACGGGGGGGGGGGGGAGGGGGCACTTGAAACTTTTTCGAGGCCCCGGACTAAAATTTTCCGGAAAGGGGGGGGGGGGGGGACGTACTGTTAAAAGTATATATTTTCTATATAAACCCCATTTCGTTCGGGGGCAGCGGTAGACTTCCTTCGTGTGGGGGGGGGGGGGAGGGAGCCTGGAAGAAACTGAGAAACTGTTTACTGAGCTCGGTCAACATTGAAAATATTAGTTAATTAATTTTTATTACAATTTACAAAAAACAGTCTTTTAAAAATAACTGCTGAAATAAAACTTCAAGCATTACTTTTTATATGCAAAAGTGTAGTTACAGAGCCAACAATATAGATTGAGAGCTATAAAATTAGAACAGTCTGACAAAATCCGACAGTTATATAATATAAGCCTATATTAATTATTATATATTTTAAAGCATATAGATATATGCCCATGTCATTGTGGTATTTATATGCGTATTTATCTGTTCATCAGCATGAGTATAAATGTAGGCAATTTAAGGAGCTTAAAAAATGTAAATCATGCTCATCTTAGCGTACAAATGTCAACATTAGAATTCCCAACGGAGCCTCCCGGAGATAATACTTAACAATTTGTTGTCAGTTAGACGCACCTCGGGAAAAAAACATTACAGTAACAGTCGAATTATTCCACTTATAAGCAAGCATACGAAAGTCAGATAATCATTAAATAAGTAAATATTCAACGGTTGTTTTAAAATTACAGTTATCTAATAGATCTAAGTTCCTGATATATTTTGTTTTCAAATAGATCTAGATCTAAATATAAAAAGTTTGGCATTTAGATCTAGTTTTTTAGTTGTTGCATAGATCTCGATTTGCCGATTTGATTATTTGTCATTTGAATATTTGTCGACATCAATTTGAATTATTTTATTTTTACTCTCTTAAGTAAAACTCCATTTTAATTTTTAAATGATTTTATTTTAGCGTATTTTTTTTAGATCTAGTCTAGATCTAGATCTAAGGTCTAGATCTTCTTAGATCTAGAATCTAGTATTTTATTCCCGCTTCACATTCACCTCCAGTTGAGCGTATTTTATTATAAACTTAAACTACACAACCGAAACACACAAAATCAAAATGTTAGGAAAACATTGGGCTTATGGCTTATTTCCTTATGTCTTATGAAGTTTCGATTTAGTTTTGATAATTTTATTAATTTTTAATTTACTTTTGTCAAAACTTGAGAAAAATCCAAATTCAAATTAGGCTAGGAATATAATATTGAATGCTAGATCTATAAAATAAATAAATTTTTATGAACTCACGATGACCCCACAACTGAGGCCAACACCATTTCAAATAGCTATTGGCTTGCCCAAGCTATGATGTATGCTGATAATTATTAACTAAGTTAAAGTCAATGTGAACTCACTGTGAACCCTCGACAGTGTAGGGATGTAGGGATTTTTCTCCTGCTGACGATCACAAGCTATTTAATTGGAACTGTCCTAATGCTTTTTTATGTTGTTTTTTTTTTTTACCTTTTCTAATTAAAACTCACATTCATATAAAAAATAAAATAGATCTAGACATCTAGCTCTAACCAATCCTAGTGTTTTCCTAATGTTTTTGTGTGTTTCGTTTGTGTTTAATAATAAAATACGCTCAACCTGAGGTGAACGTGAAGCTGCGAATAAAATTCGCTAAAATGGAGTTTTACCTTACTATTCTTTTAGTCTTTTAGTATTCTTTCTTTTCTAGATTCTACTAAAAATATCAAATGAGAATTTATGTTTTGAAAGTTACAAAAATGTTTCATTAAAGTTTCATTCATATCTGTTTTTAAACATTTGTTCAGTAGGAGGCCAAATATATCTATCTATAGTATTCTATAGATACTAGATAGGCCTATATTATATCAAGATTAGAGATGTTTTCATCAGATGCAGCCAAGCTCATTTACCGCTGTATATATAGCAAATCTTTCTCTCAAACACTGCTGTTTAAAGTTTATTTCTGGCCTATATTGATAAGTTTAGACATTGCTTTTGGTTTATTATTCCATTATCTATTATACTTGACACAAATATATCACAATATACTTATCTTAAAGCCATAATAATGAATCACCTTTTTTCACATTACTAGCCTCAGACAATTTTACATAATTAAAACGATAGATTGCCGTAGGCTAACATTATACTTCAGATTAAGGATCTACTCCAGGGTAGTTTTCATTGCCAGTGCAAATTTTTATTTGAGACCAGATCTATAACCTAAGAGCCAACCTGCTATTTAGTTGTTTTATTTTCAGTAAATTTTTTTTTTACTTTTCAATAATTCAGAATTTGTGAATTTGACACTACCAGTGCTGCTACCGAAAATATTTGTTTTTAAAACACTATCAGTAGCTCATGAAGAACAATTATTCGCTTTTTTTAGTTTATAATTAGTTATTAACATTAAATGTACTATTAAATTGGCTTTCAGTTATGACAGCCGTAGAACTTGATCCAATTTTTGTGAAAGCCCTGAAGCTCTTACATTCTAGAGCAAAAGATAGCGGAGCTCAATTAAAATCAATGCTTGATGATGCTATAGCTCATAGAAAAGGATTGAAGGTAACTATTGTTGGTAATTGCATAAAATTGATTCTACATTCTAAACCAGAGATTAGTATTTCTAACATGATTTAGTTGTATGGTTACCCACATAACTTTTATTTCCCAGTTAATGCATTTTAAATACAATCGCTATTTCAGGTTCCATCACATAATGATTTTGGTAAATCCAGTCCAGGCAGATCAAAAAGTGATGATGACACAAAGAAAAAAGAATCAGAAAAAAGATCGTCTGATAAAGTAATTGAATTTTTTTAGAGCAACTGTAAAATCTGCATCAACACTTTCAAGCTTTTTACTATCAGAAAGAAAATCTTAAAAACTTTTTGAAGTTTTGATCTTTTTTTTTTTCAATCCCTGTGACTTTTCTTGGTATTAAAAATTTTAACAAGTTACCCAGACAGAAATATCATACTGACCAATTAAGTTTTTAATTTAGTAGCTTTTATTTCAGTTTAAATTTAATCTTGTATATTGTCTATTCTTTTGGTGACACATTCATGAAATTTCATAGGGAAGCATTTTTTACTATACAAAGGCTGCTTTATTTCAGACAAGCAAAGATGGATCAGAACCTGATGCTAAAAAAATGAAAATAGAATCAAAATCCAAAAGCAGAGAGGAGAAGGAAGCAAGGGATAAAGAAAAGGAGAAAATGAAAAGGGAAAGAGAGAGAAAAGAAAAAGAAGAGAGAGATGCTCAGAAACAGAAAGAAAAACTGGAAAAGGAAAAACGAGAGAAAGAGCTGAGTAGTAAACAAGATACTGAAGTCAACATGGTGAGTGATGAGGAGGAGCCTTCAACACAAGTGGATGCTGGAGATTTTGCTTTTGAGATGGGTATAGCATGTGTGGTGTGTAGGTAAGTTCATGAGATGGGTATAGCATGTGTGGTGTGTAGGTAAGTTCATGAGATGGGTATAGCATGTGTGGTGTGTAGGTAAGTCCATGAGATGGGTATAGCATGTGTGGTGTGTAGGTAAGTCCATGAGATGGGTATAGCATGTGTGGTGTGTAGGTAAGTTCATGAGATGGGTATAGCATGTGTGGTGTGTAGGTAAGTTCATGAGATGGGTATAGCATGTGTGGTGTGTAGGTAAGTTCATGAGATGGGTATAGTGTGTGTGGTGTGTAGGTAAATTCATGAGATGGGTGTAGCATGTGTGGTGTGTAGGTAAGTTCATGAGATGGGTATAGCATGTGTGGTGTGTAGGTAAGTTCATGAGATGGGTATAGCATGTGTGGTGTGTAGGTAAGTTCATGAGATGGGTATAGCATGTGTGGTGTGTAGGTAAATTCATGAGATGGGTGTAGCATGTGTGGTGTGTAGGTAAGTTCATGAGATGGGTATAGCATGTGTGGTGTGTAGGTAAGTTCATGAGATGGGTATAGCATGTGTGGTGTGTAGGTAAGTTCATGAGATGGGTATAGCATGTGTGGTGTGTAGGTAAGTTCATGAGATGGGTATAGCATGTGTGGTGTGTAGGTAAGTTCATGAGATGGGTATAGCATGTGTGGTGTGGAGGTAAGTTCATGAGATGGGTATAGCATGTGTGGTGTGTAGGTAAGTTCATGAGATGGGTATAGCATGTGTGGTGTGTAGGTAAGTTCATGAGATGGGTATAGCATGTGTGGTGTGTAGGTAAGTTCATGAGATGGGTATAGCATGTGTGGTGTGTAGGTAAGTTCATGAGATGGGTATAGCATGTGTGGTGTGTAGGTAAGTTCATGAGATGGGTATAGCATGTGTGGTGTGTAGGTAAGTTCATGAGATGGGTATAGCATGTGTGGTGTGTAGGTAAGTTCATGAGATGGGTATAGTGTGTGTGGTGTGTAGGTAAATTCATGAGATGGGTGTAGCATGTGTGGTGTGTAGGTAAGTTCATGAGATGGGTATAGCATGTGTGGTGTGTAGGTAAGTTCATGAGATGGGTATAGTGTGTGTGGTGTGTAGGTAAATTCATGAGATGGGTGTAGCATGTGTGGTGTGTAGGTAAGTTCATGAGATGGGTATAGCATGTGTGGTGTGTAGGTAAGTTCATGAGATGGGTATAGCATGTGTGGTGTGTAGGTAAGTTCATGAGATGGGTATAGCATGTGTGGTGTGTAGGTAAGTTCATGAGATGGGTATAGCATGTGTGGTGTGGAGGTAAGTTCATGAGATGGGTATAGCATGTGTGGTGTGTAGGTAAGTTCATGAGATGGGCATAGCATGTGTGGTGTGTAGGTAAGTTCATGAGATGGGTATAGCATGTGTGGTGTGTAGGTAAGTTCATGAGATGGGTATAGCATGTGTGGTGTGTAGGTAAGTTCATGAGATGGGTATAGCATGTGTGGTGTGTAGGTAAGTTCATGAGATGGGTATAGCATGTGTGGTGTGTAGGTAAGTTCATGAGATGGGTATAGTTGGGTTTGATTTTTGTGAGATGGGTATAGCATGTGTGGTGTGTAGGTAAGTTCATGAGATGGGTATAGCATGTGTGGTGTGTAGGTAAGTTCATGAGATGGGTATAGCATGTGTGGTGTGTAGGTAAGTTCATGAGATGGGTATAGCATGTGTGGTGTGTAGGTAAGTCCATGAGATGGGTATAGCATGTGTGGTGTGTAGGTAAGTCCATGAGATGGGTATAGCATGTGTGGTGTGTAGGTAAGTCCATGAGATGGGTATAGCATGTGTGGTGTGTTGGTAAGTTCATGAGATGGGTATAGCATGTGTGGTGTGTAGGTAAGTTCATGAGATGGGTATAGCATGTGTGGTGTGTAGGTAAGTCCATGAGATGGGTATAGCATGTGTGGTGTGTAGGTAAGTTCATGAGATGGGTATAGCATGTGTGGTGTGTAGGTAAGTTCATGAGATGGGTATAGCATGTGTGGTGTGTAGGTAAGTTCATGAGATGGGTATAGCATGTGTGGTGTGTAGGTAAGTTCATGAGATGGGTATAGTGTGTGTGGTGTGTAGGTAAATTCATGAGATGGGTATAGCATGTGTGGTGTGTAGGTAAGTTGATGAGATGGGTATAGCATGTGTGGTGTGTAGGTAAGTTCATGAGATGGGTATAGTTGGGTTTGATTTTTGTGAGATGGGTATAGCATGTGTGGTGTGTAGGTAAGTTCATGAGATGGGTATAGCATGTGTGGTGTGTAGGTAAGTCCATGAGATGGGTATAGCATGTGTGGTGTGTAGGTAAGTTCATGAGATGGGTATAGCATGTGTGGTGTGTAGGTAAGTTGATGAGATGGGTATAGCATGTGTGGTGTGTAGGTAAGTTCATGAGATGGGTATAGTTGGGTTTGATTTTTGTGAGATGGGTATAGCATGTGTGGTGTGTAGGTAAGTTCATGAGATGGGTATAGTTGGGTTTGATTTTTGTGAGATGGGTATAGTGTGTGTGTGTAGGTAAGTTCATTTGTATTTTTTAAAATTATTGTCACAATCGTTAACCTGTAGTAGTCCACTAGGGTGGAGATTGTTAATTTTATTTTAATTGTATATTTTTCATTAAAAATTGTATGATTGTTTTTAATGCTATAAACTTGTAGAATAAAGTAATTGCGGCTCATTTTTTAAAACTGCTCTATTAGTTTTTATAAACATTATCAAGTACCTACAGTTTTCTTTTAAAATTCACAGTAAAGTGAATATTTGTCAGTTAAAAGTTACATTTATTGATTAAATTATTAAAATTATGAACTTTTTCAATTAAAATGTGCAGTCAAAAACATCTGTATAAGTTTTCAATCTCACGCATTACTGTTATTCCAACCTATATAGGCAGTTTGATGTTAGCTCTGGAAATCAACTAGTTGAATGCCAGGAGTGTCACAGCTTGTATCACCAGGTTGGTACCACTTGCATGAATATGTCAATATTACTGAGTTTAAGTTTGGGCAAATAAGTGAATATTGATAGTGTACATTAGAGATCAAGTGTAGTAACACTGACAAATAAGTGAATATTGATATAGTGCATATAGAGGTTTAGACAGCTGACATTTAATCTCCAGGAATGCCATAAGCCCCCTGTGACTGAGGAAGATGTCAGTGATCCAAGGTTTGTCTGGTATTGTTCTCGATGTACTAAAAGTCTGAAAAAAATGGTACGTCAATAATATAATTAATGACATTTATTTAAGACAACATTTCAAAGTTGTTTTTTTAATGAACAATAATTTAGATTTTAAAAGTTCTACTAAAAAACACATATTTTAAAATATTATAAATAACTGATCTACACATTTATTTATGTTTTAAATTGTTTATTTTTACATTTTAATTATTTTTAAATTGAGTGCTTTGCTTTTTAGGTAACCCAAAAACCAATTAAACCCAAACTTTCTTCATCGTCTAACAATGGCAAGGAATTACCTGGCTCAGCTAGTAAATTGAATAAAAATGACAATAGCTCTACAAACAGCCAGGCATTTCGTAGAATTGATCCAAAGGTGAGTTAAACTTCAAACTGAAGCCGAAGTCAGGATAGACACGTAAATACACTGACTTAGTCTCTAAGACATCATTGAGCTCACCCAGCATTGATCAGTGCTTGAATACATATGGTAAAAATAAATACATTTTGCTAACACCCAATTGCTTTATATGCTGAGGTCACTTAAACAAATGAACTATACTTTATCTGTCCTACGTATGATGTCTAAAAAAAATTTTTACCTGTTTTTACTTAAATTGTTTGTTTTGTGTATTTTTATTTTTTTTTAAATAAAATTTTCTTTTGTTTTCTAATTGTAGTTTTTCCAAACAAATTAGAAACCAATTTTATTTTCCTTTTTTATGCAGGCTATTGTTGCACCAAAAGAAAGTAGTAACTTATCTAATCCAACATCCAAGCCCATGGTGGGGTTGGAAGGGCTTGCAGCAAATCTAGCTAAGCCTCGAGGTGAGTCCAAAAGTGGGTCATCCCGCAAATCCGAGCAGAAAGATGGGTCCAAGTCTTCCAGCAAAACAGATGGAAAGTCCAGCAGTGGGAACAAGTCTGACAGCTCCTCCAAGTCTTCCTCCTCCAGTAAAGGAGAGGAGAAAAAATCTGAGAGCAAATCTTCAAATAAAGAAGATAAAAAAGGTGAAGAGAGCAAATCCTCTAATAAAGAAGATAGAAAAAATGATGAAAACAAATCTTCTAATAAAGAAGATAGAAAAAATGATGATAGCAAATCTTCTAATAAAGAAGATAGAAAAAATGATGATAGCAAATCTTCTAATAAAGAGGATAGAAAAGGCGACGAGAGTAAATCTTCTAATAAAGAAGATAGAAAAGGTGAGGTCAAGTCCAGCAAGAAAAGCGAGGAGAAAAAATATGTGGAACTCAAACCAGTGCCAACAGCATCATCTACGGCTTCATCAACCGTGAAGGAAGAAAAAAAATCAGACTCTAAGGGTGACCAGAAGTCTGAACTCGGCAAATCACCATCACACAGTGGTCTGGCCAAGCTGGACGTTTCCCTGGCCAAAACTTCTCCGCCACATTCAGGCAACCCTGCGATGCCAGTGACCCCAGACTCCCCCTCGTCGTCTAAGAGTAGCAGCAATGCCAGCAACAAACAGGCTATCGCCAACCTGTCTATGGTCACTGCTAACAAGAGGATTCAGATGATGAAGAAAAAAGCTCAAACCAAACCAGAAAAAAAGATACACATTAAGTAAACTTCACTGGACATTAGTGTTGGCTACTTAATAGAATTAAGATCATTCAAATAATAAAGATACTGCTGTCTTCCCATTAGAAATGGTCAAGAAAATGGAACTGTTTTGATAAATGTAAGAAATCAAACTTTAAATTATTCTTTGATTAATGCTAAATACTTTTGAATTTGATGTTGTTACTATGTTTTTTAATGGATTTAATAACATACCATTTAATGAATTGAAAACTGTTGCTTGTGTATGTACATTATATTTTTACAACAGTGATTGTAAATAGCTTTAAAAAGTGTTTAAAAAAAAATAAAAGAGTTCTTTTACTATATACAAAAATTATTTGTCTTAATTTTTTTTTAAATACTTCTAATGAGCCAGCCCTGCTTTACTTAAAAATAGAGTAATGGTGGATAGGTATGGAGCTGAACACAAACAATTTTTATACAGGGGCGAATGACAAAGACAAACTCTACCTCACCTGCTAATGCATAAGAGATGGTGAGGCAGCTCCCTGTGCCACAATTTTCAGGGAAATGGCGTCTTCAGTTGTTGCTATTTCTGCAAATAACTACATTGAAGCAAGTCACTGCGGTCTGAGTAACAAAAATAATGGAGGAAGGTTAATGAAGGCACCATCTGTTGTATGAGGAAAGTGCCAATCATTGCTTAGAGATTATTTTCTTCTACAGCTCCGTGTTACTTAATGAAGGCACCTTCTTGAGGTCAAAGTTTGCATGTAGCCTACCTCGCTGTTGGTTAATGAAGGCGTCAATTTTAAAGTCAGCACCCCATTACTAAAGTAAAAAAAAAACTACTAAAATATAAGCGTGTTCCTTACTGCTGGTTAATTAAAGAGCCTTTTTGAGGTTAACCACTTCTGCTCTCAAAATCTACGATATTTTAATTACAATTATACTTGACGAGCCGACCCGCGGCATATCATACGCCGCTATTTAGTTGTTTTTTCTACTTTTCAGTTATTCATAATTTGTGAATTCGACACTACCAACGCTGCCATTTAAATATTTCTTTAAAACACTATAAGTAGCTCGGTAAGGACGATAACCCCCCCCCCCCTCCTTCACCCCCACCCCTCCGTTAAAGTAAACTCCACTTAGTTACCCCCCCCCCCCCCTACGTTTAAAATCGTTTCAAACTAAATTATCTGCCACTAATAGTCGTCACTAAACCCGGCTGTGTTTGTAATGTTTGTAAACATTAAGAGTGAACCACAACTCACCAGACCATGTAGGGGTGGGGACGGTAGGGAGCGCGTTTGCAGCTTGTTTTCTAGCGGCTCCCAGAAGAGAATTATATATATATAGATACGCTGTAGAAGTGTTGAGTGATTGACCAGCCAAGTCATCGAGATGGTGCTACAAATAAATTCAATTTAGCTAAGCCTTCTTTATTTTGGTCCAGTTTGACGTCTTCATAATCCATTCAAATACGATAAGGAGGAGTAAAGTGGACAATATTTTTTGCGCCTGGTTTTGAACATACACTGGTAACTGCCGGAAGTCATGACATACCGGCGCTGAAACTTGGGGAATGTGACATTTTGTTTTGTCTAGGATGCCTGTGTGTGTATTGGGGGTAGAACCTCACATTGTCGAACTCTGGGCAGATGAGGCTCAACAGCTGGGGACAGCAACCCATCTAGGATAAACACAAAAAAAATTTAAATCTTCAAAATCTAACAACTGCTGTCTTGCAGACTGTCCCTGGAGACGGGCTATAGAATTAGAAGCCAATCAACAAATAAAAGCAGGCTGAAGTCCAAATCAACAGGCCATTTGGTGCGATTTGTGTGTAATCGCCGATCTGCATTGAAGATTTGGCTATGCTCCCAATGTTTCTTCCAGACTTTTTTCTCTGGGGGGGGGGGGGGGGTGCGCGGACACTGTTTAAAGTATATGTTTTCTATATAAATTCCATTTCGCTCGGGGGGGGGTAGACTTTCTTCGGTGGGGGGGGGGGGGGGGGGCTCCGGCCCGCGAAGAGATGCCTTGAAGAAACTCTGTATACCCCTCTTCATCTGTGACGTTCAGATCTTAACTCTAATAGTGTAATTTAGTTATTGTTAATAATAATTAGGCCTACATGACGTGTATCAGACAATTCGAAGTTTTTGTGATCATTTAATTTTTTTTTTTTAAACAACCGTTTGATGAACGCCTTCATCTTTTTTTTTAACTCTCGTATCCTACTGAGTGTAGAGGAAGTAATGTAATCGTGTCGAATAATTTACAGTTTTGTCGTTTTCACCGTTTTACAGCTTCATACTTACCGTACACGGAATTTAAAAGGTGCATTGTCTTCTTCTTAATCCCGATAGTTCATCTGATTCATTTACCGCAGCATATGAAGGGATAGTGTGGTCAGCACTATGTCCAGCCGCCTTTGTTTCCCTAACGATTCGAACTCGAGACTCTCGGGTTAGCAGTCTAGATCTCTACCACTAGGCTACGCCGTCCCATAAAAAGATGCATTGTAATCATGCAAAAAATATATAAATAGAGATGTTGACAATTTTTGACGTTGTACATCTTTCCGGATCCAACTTAGTTTTGCATTTTTGTGTGTCTGTCTGTGTGTACGTAAACACGATAACTTGAGAACCGTTTCAGGTAGGTGGACGAAATTTCATAAATAGTAAAATGTAGTTTCCTTTTCGAACCTGGCGGTCAATGGGGCAAGTAAAGAAGAGTTCACCTGTATCTGTGACCATGGCATAAGTAGGGATAGTGAGGTCAGCACTATGGCGCATAAGAAGGGATAGTGAGATCAGCACTATGGCGCATAAGAAGGGATAGTGAGATCAGCACTATGGCGCATAAGAAGGGATAGTGAGGTCAGCACTATGGCGCATAAGAAGGGATAGTGAGGTCAGCACTATGGCGCATAAGACGGGATAGTGAGGTCAGCACTATGGCGCATAAGAAGGGATAGTGAGGTCAGCACTATGGCGCATAAGAAGGGATAGTGAGGTCAGCACTATGGCGCATAAGAAGGGATAGTGAGATCAGCACTATGGCGCATAAGAAGGGATAGTGAGGTCAGCACTATGGCGCATAAGAAGGGATAGTGAGGTCAGCACTATGGCGCATAAGAAGGGATAGTGAGGTCAGCACTATGCCGCATAAGAAGGGATAGTGAGGTCAGCACTATGGCGCATAAGAAGGGATAGTGAGGTCAGCACTATGGCGCATAAGAAGGGATAGTGAGGTCAGCACTATGCCGCATAAGAAGGGATAGTGAGATCAGCACTATGCCCAATGGTCTTTACTTTCCGTCACGTGATCTAGGTGGACTAGAGGCGTTCTACCGCGGACACTGGTAAAAGTATATATTTTCTATACAAATAATATTTCGTTGGGGGGGGGGGGGGGGAAGACGTTTTTCAGGAGGATTGGGCTCCTACTTCCTCTCGAAGTGATGCCTGAAGGAAACTATGGGTGTAACTATGGAGTACTGGGTGGTGGTGGTTGTGTACTGTGGTAGTAGTGTAACCGAATCTGTGCTATATTTTTTGCTACAAAGCTTCCAAGTTTGAGTCAAACCCTCGACAAAACCTTTTCTCATAGGACGCTTGTCTAAAAAAAAGCGTCTTTGGCGCACCATGTTGCTCGCCAGGTCACGTGATGTCACATGTCAAGCTAACAGCTCTTTACAATTACCCGCTTGTCAGCTGAGTTTGTACCACAACTTTGTTGCAACAAAAAAACAAAAACAAATGGTATCTTGGCTCAGACAAATCCAACCTGTGTATCGCAGTAGAGGATAAATAGATTGAACAGTTTTTTTTAAACCGTCCAGTAAATCTAAGGCGAGCCATCACGTGCCTGACACGCTAACGACCCAGCAAATTAAAGTTGTAAACCTAATGACAAGTTAATGGCCGAGCTATTCTCAAGGTCGAATCAAGGTCACGACACTTTTTAGCGTGGTGTAAAGAGGGTCGTAATTTTTTCGTTTTTTTACGACTACCAATGTCACCCTGTTACGTCTGCTAGCTGTATCCAGCTGACGACACGCCTGGAGGCCCGTGTTAGGATGTTGTGAGCACTAGGCTACACGCGTGTCTGGGCCGAGTGTCTAGTCCCCGTGTCAATGTGTTTGGTCCCTGTGTCAACAGTCTAGTCGCTGTGTCTAAGTGTCTCATTGTCTAAACACCTGGTTGAGGTGTAAACTAGTTTCACAAGCCAGGATATTTTTCTCACCATTTCATTGCAGGTAGGTGTTGGGTTTTTTTTTGTTCTTACGTCAATACTGTTGAGCTAATTAGTAAAGGTGTTCGATCTATTTAATTAATTTTACATCAATTAATGCATCAACGTTTCCTATCAAAGATGGCTGCGGCTATGTAAAAAAAATTTGTCCCATTCAGTAGTCAGAAGTAAGAAAACTGAGTAGATTTTGAAAATAATTGTTTTCACCTTGTTTTCCTTGTAATGATTTAGGCATCTGTTTATGGCATGCATGGTCACAGATGGTGAAATAGGCACAAAGGGCAAATACTCTGATTGTGTATTGCGCATGAGCTGTCTTAAATAGTTTATAGATTTTTCAAAATTTCAGTTTTTAAAAGAAATCGTGAAATTGGGTTTTATTATTTTCAAAATTATGTATATCGTCGTCTAAATTTAAAAGATCATTCAACACAATGCTACATTGATGCTCTAACTATAGCAGTGTACATATTTAAAAGTATTCTAGACAAAAATTCTATCATTCATAAACCCCATCCGAAATTTAACCCCCGTCGCCCAAAAATATTAAATATGAAACCTATACTGAGTTTGTATTGAAGAGGCTGAAACTTTTACAAATTTGCATGAAAATGTATTTCGCTACCTATAACCTTAACCCTCAAGGCTGCGTGCGTGCATTAAATTAAAGCTGGCAAATTAGTGGCGGGGTTTAACTTTTTGCGTGTTCACTTTTTGAATTAGTGGCGGGGCTTATCTGGAAAAGACCCGAACTCACCCCAACACAGAGATACTTGCTTACTTTTCAACCATGGAAAGAGAAATGGGATTTTGTTCCATTTGGGGTTATACGTTGTTGTGGTTAAGATTAAGTTTAGGTTCGAGTTCTTTATCGGCGGTGCCAATTAAAAGAAGTGAACTGTGTGTCATTAGCTGGGGTTTGAGGGAGGGGTAGAGGGAATATTAGGGTTTGGGACGGTTAAATAAGTCCTTGCCAAACCTTAGGGGGGGGGATGGGGGACAAACCAACACTTCCTTGAGAGGTTCGTACAAGTACGCATCTTACCCGGACCTAACTTGTCCAAGTGACGCCATCCACCGACCACCACCATGAAACACACCATCCTGTCAACTGCGTGTATTGTTATGACACGTCCATGTAAACAACCGACCGTGTTCGCGCCGTGTCCCGTGCTGACACACCGACTTTGTAAGTGTACGATAACACCAAGAGTTACCGCGTGCGTTAACTCCCTTACATCTGCCGACTCGAGCCAGATGTGCCTTGCATTATCTCAAACCAAATCCCAACAAGCCAAACATGAACAGTTATTTTTTTTTTTTTTACGGCATTGGTTTTTCAACACGAACACATAAATCCCACACATTGTATCCGTTCATTTAGACGTAAACAAAGTATTTAAATTTAATGTTTAGGAAAACGGCAACTTCCGGCTTGAATGTTCCCATCTTGATCGCAACAGCACTGAAGGCCCTATCAAACTATGTACGGGACGTAGTGACGTAGTGATGAACGCCTTGTGTGCAAAACGTCGCAGTAGGGCCGCGGACCGTTCCAACAAGCGACGGTTGATGCACAGCACTGGTCACAACATTGTGTCGGTGGGCATAGAGGACAAGTACAAGAAGTTCCTGTCTGATCTGTACACAACTCTCATAGACATACAGTGGAGGTAAGTCATGGTCGTTTGTACACAAATCTTTGTACACAACTCTCATAGACATTCAGTGGAGGTAAGTCACGGGCGCCTGTACACAAATCTTTGTACACAATTCTCATAGATATCCAGGGGAGGTAAGTCACAACGACCTCTACAAACTTCTGATGTGTACAAAATTCTTTTTGGATGTGTACACTACTTTGTTGTAATATGTACACAACTCCCTTAAGTCACATTGATCTCATTGATACCCAGTGGAGTAGGGCCTACGTCACTGGTAAGTGGAAGCTACAAACTGTCAGTCAAGGTAAGTCGAAGAGGTGTGTGTAGAGGGACGACAATGTAGCGTACTATGTGTCGCAGGTTCTAATTATATCATAATTAGGTTAATTCATGCAGTACGTCACAGGTGTGTGTCACATAGAGACTATTTACGTGAGTAAGTCACAGGTGTTTTTGTACTGTAAGGGAGGCTATCCTGTGGAGTTAACTGTCAATGTTACATGTCTTTCTCATAGACATATGTCATTTATGGACAGTCATGCTGCAGGTGTATGTGACAATCAAGATAAGTCATATGTCATGGGTCTATACAATCAAGGACTGTTCAGTGGAAGTGTATCTCATTATATATATATATATATATATATATATATATATATATATATATATATATATATATAGGACCCTATACTTTCCATATATTTTAATACAGAACGAGGCACATGTTTTGACACTTACAAGAAACGACAAGACTGTATTATGTATGTTCTTATCTGAAAGAAAAGTTGGATGAAATTTGTCGAGTACAGTTTTCTTTACTCTTGCCGGACACCCTCAATTTATTTCTAATCGGGTCTTGCATAGCCCTTCTCTATTTGGAACATCCTGATGCTACTCTTCACCCCTTGTCATATCTTTGGAACATCCTGATGTAACTCTTCTCCCCCTTGCATTATCTTCCCCTAGATGGAACATCCTCATCTTCGTCAGCGGGTTCGTCGTCTGCTGGGTGGTGTTTGCCGGCCTGTACTACCTCCTGTGTTACCTGCACGGCGACATGGAGGAGGAACAGGAGCCTAGCTTCACGCCGTGCCTGGAGAACGTCCGGACCTTCACGGCCGCATACCTGTTCTCCATAGAGACCATGATGACCATCGGCTACGGCTCGCGCTTCCAGACGGAGGAGTGCCCGGGGATGTACATGGCTGTCATGCTGCAGTCCATCATAGGGGCGGGGCTGCAGTTCGCTCTGGCTAGTATCGTGGTCTCGAAGACCAGAAGAGCTAAACGGTAAGTTGTAGAGATACGATACTAAGGCTTAGATTTATAAGCTCTAGTGGTAGTAAGATGCAAAGATCGTTTATGGAAATTTGACTAGATAGGTATAAAAGCGCACATCCCCAATGGTTTCGTTGACTTTCACATAATTGCAACATCACAAAATACACGATTATTTAAAACGGCCATTATAACTCTGAAAGTACAGGCACGTTAGCACTTTCATTCCGGCATCGTTTAAAATATCTTACAATTATAATTGTTCCGCTTTTTCTATTACTTTCCAAGTTTTAAAATATAATAATAACATGATGGATTTAGAGGTGAAGGTTTTATCTGGACTGCAGCCAGGGGCCCCGAAATTTCAGGGTCCCCAAATGGTGTACAGAATGGTTATTACGGGCCCCGAAATTTCAGGGTCCCCAAATGGTGTACAGAATGGTTATTACGGGCCCCGAAATTTCAGGGTCCCCAAATGGTGTACAGAATGGTTATTACGGGCCCCGAAATTTCAGGGTCCCCAAATGGTGTACAGAATGGTTATCAGGGGCCCCGAAATTTCAGGGTCCCCCAAATGGTGTACAGAATGGTTATCAGGGGCCCCGAAATTTCAGGGTCCCCTAATGGTGTACAGAATGGTTATAATGTAACATTGTTATAATAAGAACAAACTAGTACATACTAAATAGTTCCGGTGTCACTGATAATGCCCAACAACAAGTCTGTTTTCCTGTGTAATTCGCGTATTTGACATCATCAGTTAATTCCCATACTAATTATTTGTTAAACAAAAAAAAAAAAAAAAAAAACGCAGGATTAATCTCCTTGTTTTCTTTTTTGATTGTTAATGATTGATTTTTCCTAAAAATTTAAGGTTGTCTCTCTATAGCTTTACAATTAATCCATTTCGCTTCTTATTTTGTTGAAACTAATCGTTTCACATTTGGTCAAAACTTTTAACTGCTGATTTGGCTGATGCAAATAACTCTATATTTAGCTGTAACTAATAACTCCAGACTTTGCTAATACTAATCATCCCAGGTTTTACCAAAACAAATTGCCGCAGTAAATGTCAGATTTGAATTGCCCAGATTTAACTCTTCAACTTTATTTATTACCTGGCTACTCTAATAAACTCCCAATAAATATGTCCGCTGGATGGGACGGGAAATAGCAGTGGGGTCCAAACTGGGTGGATATGGTGGTGATATAAAATAGTTCCATTTCAAAATCATTATAACTAGGATATTTTTCTTTAAAGATTCGTGGATGAGGTTAGAATCATCATATTAGCTATGGAAAACGATTATCTACAGATAGATTATCTATGCGCTATGTTAAATTTCACAAAGTTTAACCCCAAGAGAAGAGTTATTAAAACCCAGCGATGTCTCGCCAGCTAATAATTTGCTCGACAATTATTGCACTAATCCCCTGTCCAATTGTAAACTTACCAATTTCCAAAATATTAAACAAGTGTGTGTTATAAGCTAAGCTGTGTTTTTAAAATTATACTCAAGAATGATTTCTTTATAATATGTGAGCTATTGTGTCAAGGGCTAAGATTTCTAGAGAAATCGGATGTTAATATATTTTTTTAAATGTGAGTCTTCATTGGGTTAATTTCTAATTTAAAAGTAACAACTCGACAAACGGCAGTAAAATTCTATCCCATGATTACATTAGCTTTTATACTTTTTGATCATTAACAAACAATAGAAACCCCCTCCCTTTCCCTCCCTATTCCCTTGCATCTATCTATAACTTTTTTCCAGCACAAAAAAAAAAGCGCATTCAAAAACCAAAAACTTCTCGGAGAAAACAGCGTGCACAGAAAATCGTACCAAAAAACCCGACATTATGCACACATAAAATAGCATACACATAAAATCATGCGCATGCATATAGCCAAAATGATCACTGCTCACAATGTACATTGAAACGTCTGCATAATTTTAGTGTGCGAGCATTTTTCTGTGTGCGCATGTTTCCTTTGCATATTCTTACTCGAGCAATTTTCTGTGCGGGATTTCCCGTTGTTCTTTTCTTGTCTTCTCATCGCCTGTAACATTAAAAAAAAGCTTTTTGTTTACAAATGTCACCCCGCCCCCAGCCGCAGTCAGACGATACTATTCAGCGACAGGGTGTGTATATACGAGCAGGACTCTAAACTGCAGCTGTCTATTCGCATCTGCGATATTCGGGAGTCGGAAATCTCCGGGGCGCACGCTGAAGGCTTTCTCGTCAAGAAATTCAAATCAAATGACGGTAAGAACATTTTCTCGTCCAGAAATTCAAATCAAATGACGGTAAGAACATTTTCTCGTCCAGAAATTCAAATCAAATGACGGTAAGAACATTTTCTCGTCAAGAAATTCAAATCAAATCAAATGACGGTAAGAACATTTTCTCGTCCAGAAATTCAAATCAAATGACGGTAAGAACATTTTCTCGTCCAGAAATTCAAATCAAATGACGGTAAGAACATTGTATCGTGAAGAAGTTCAAATCAACTGACGGTAAGAAAAATATCTCGTTAACAAATTCAGATCAAATATTGGTAAGTTTTTTTTTTGTCACAAAATTCGAAACAAATGACTGTAAGCACATTTTCTCGTAAAAAAAATAAATAATCCAATGATGGTAAAAAAAAATATTATCCGTTTATTCTTGTTACTTTTTTTTTAGAAAGTAGATATAGGCAGTAGTAGATAAAGTAGAATTGATTTATTTTCTGATGGCTAATGCTGGGATTACATAGCTCACACAACACATTTATCTCTACCAACTGACTCGATTTTTTTTCTTGAAAGTTTAAAAAAAAAATTCTGTAGTTTCTACAGTAGCAGCAAACTAGCTGAAAATAATTGTATTAATGTTTGAATGTAGTATCCGGGTGCTAATTTGACGAGCAGCTTCTGGCATACCAGCTTCAGAAATTGTAAGAACAATTTTGATTACCAAGTTAAAAACATGGGATGGCGTGGTCTGGGGGTAGAGCACACAACTTATATCCCTAAAGTCTCAAGATCGTATCCGTAATACATTCCTGAGTGGCTACAGCTCTGATGGGTACCTGGTTTACGTGCTGGCCACACTATCCCTTTATACACTGAGCTCACAGAAACAGGTTAACTCTTCTTCAGTTGCCCCATAGACCGCCAGGTTCGAAATCTTAGCTCAGAAAAAAATGGCAGGATTATTTTTATGCCGAATGGAATAATTTTAAATGAAAATGTAAATGCGAGAGAATCGAATGAGTTATGTCCCATTGATCACAATACTTAAGACAAATTTTAGTAGCATGACTTATAACATACAATTTTAGCAGCAATAATGACAAAACAGTAGTTTATGAGTTTGTGCCCAAGAAACATGGTGCAGATGAAGTAGATTTCATCTGTTTCAATGACCTCAGCGTATGTAGGATAGCGATACTGTTTTAATGGCATAACTTAGAGGCATTGAGATTTTAATAGCATGAATTAAGATGTAATTTATTTGACTTTCACATTAGAACTCGCCGCATCATGACTTGTGTGTACATGTATGTTGATACAAGCTCCACTCTATTGTAATATAAGTTCTGTAACTGATACGATGTAAAAATATATTGTCGACCCCCAGGGACGTTCATTCCTGTCCGATCGTTCAGGGTCAGCTTCAAGGCCGAGAGTGGACGAGACGAGATCTTCTTCCCCTGGCCGACTCACATCCTGCACGTGGTGGACGAGGACTCGCCTCTCTGGTCGCTGGCCAGGTACACACGTGTAAATCTTGGGTACTGTAGGGTGCTCACCTTACAAAAACACATTATTCACCTTAGAGAAACACATTACTCACCTTACAGAAACACATTGTTAAACAAATGTGAATAGATATTCGATCCAGATCTAAAGGAGTACTCACGTTATATGAATAAACTGCTGCACAGTGTTTATCTTAGACATTAGTTCGCCCCCCCCCCCCAACCCAAGACACGCCTACCGCCCCCCCCCCCCCCTTCCTTACGAAATATAAATTCTACAGAAATTTTTTACTTTTGCCCATGCCCGGCGTGCCCCCCCCCCCCACTGAAAATTAGTCGTCGTCCCCCCCAAACTTTCAAGTCTCTCCCCCCCCCTCCGGAGAGAAAGTCTGAAAGAAACACTGGTGCTGCATCACTTCACTGTTCATATCATGCTTGAGAAAAGAAAGTGCAATAGACATGGAAAGTGCAATGGGGAAAAACATATTTCTTTAAGCTACCGGCACCATGGCATATGTAAAGATCGTCTGGTCAGAATAACGTGCCTTTACTTTCGGGCACTGAAACGAACTCTGGACGTGTGCCTTAAAATAGGAGACATTAAACATGCAGTAAAAATTTAAACATTGATGTATTTTGTAAAACGGAATGGTACGGTATTGTAAGAGTAAAATTGAGATAGTAATTTGTGAATTAGATACAGGACGATTTTTTGAATACTAAATGATTTTTCTATGCCATTCCAGGGTCGATGGTTTAAAATCTAAACTTTTCTATATGCCATTCCAGGGTCGATGGTTTAAAATCTAAACTTTTCTATATGCCATTCCAGGGTCGATGGTTTAAAATCTAAACTTTTCTATATGCCATTCCAGGGTCGATGGTTTAAAATCTAAACTTTTCTATATGCCATTCCAGGGTCGATGGTTTAAAATCTAAACTTTTCTATATGCCATTCCAGGGTCGATGGTTTAAAATCTAAACTTTTCTATATGCCATTCCAGGGTCGATGGTTTAAAATCTAAACTTTTCTATATGCCATGCCAGAAAATCTAAACTTTTCTCTATGCCATGCCAGAAAATCTAAACTTTTCTCTCTGCCATGCCAGAAAATCTAAACTTTTCTCTATGCCATGCCAGAAAATCTAAACTTTTCTCTCTGCCATGTCAAAAAAATCTAAACTTTTCTCTCTGCCATGTCAAAAAAATCTAAACTTTTCTCTCTACCAGGGACGAGCTGTTGAATGGCGAGTACGAGCTGATTGTGGTGGTAGACGGCGTTAGCGGCACCACCAGCAGACCATTCCAAGCCAGGAAGTCGTACCACACCAGTGAGATGATGTGGGGGCACAGGTAACATCAGAGGTGATGTGTGTGGTGGGATATTTTGTGATGTGTGGGGGGCACAGGTAACCACAGAGGTGTTTGTGTTGTGGGGTATTTTATGATATGGGGAGGGGGGGGGGCACAGCTAACATCAGAGGTGTTGTGTGTGGTGGGGGTTTTTTGTGATGTGGGGGACAGGTACATCAGAGGTGTTTGTGTAAGGTGGGGTATTTTGTGATGTGGGGGCACAGGTAACATCAGAGGTGTTTGTGTGTGGTGGGGTATTTTTGATGTGTGGAGGGGGGCACAGGTAACATCAGGTGTTTGTGCGGTGGGGTATTTTGTTATTTGGGGGGTGGGGACACAGGTAACATCAGAGGTGTTTGTGTGTGGTGGGATATTTTAACATCAGGTGTTTGTGTGTGGTGGGATATTTTAACATTAGGTGTTTGTGTGTGGTATTTTGTGATGTGGGGGACATGTAACATAAGGTGTTTGTGTGGTGGAGTATTTTGTAATTTGGGGGAACAGTTAACATTACAGGTGTTTGTGTGTGGTGGGGTATTTTGTGATGTCTGTGGGGGGGGGGGGGGGGGGGGACAGGTAACATCGGAGGTGTTATGTGGTGGGGTATTGTGTGATGTGGGGGAGAGGTAACATTACAGGTGTTTGTGTGTGGTGGGGTATTTTGTGATGTGGCGGACAGGTAACATCAGAGGTGTTTGTGTGGTGGGGTATTTTGTGATGGGCAGAGGTAATCTGAGAGATGTTTGTGTGTGGTGGAATTAGTTTATTTATGCAATTATAAAGGTTTCTTCCCCAACACTACAACAAGATTAAAAATAATACTTCATGATACAGAGCTGACATTAAATCAATACTAGGCTCTGAAAAAAAATGTTATCTTCCACGAAACAATTTATTCAATTATTTAATTAATTAATTAAAATTATGAAATAACGTAGTGTGCCCCCCCCCCCTTCTTGATTTGTAACAAACGAATTTTCGCCTTGATTTTCAACATGGGATCTAAAGTTATGTTGCTGATTAGATGTGTTACTTGACTGAATTTTTAACTGTGCACTTGTATTTATGATGTCTCTAAGATTTGTTATCTGACCCTTCGTCACCCCCCCCCCCCCCACCCCCCAGATTTGTCACACTGGGCTTGACCTTCAACTCCGCGGGCTCCTACGTGATGGACCTGACCCACTTCCACAACACTTTACCGGCCTGCACGCCCCTGTGTAGCGCCCAGGACATCACAACCTTCAGAAAACTCTACCCCAAAACCACCAGCCTCTCCACCGACAAACTCAGCGAATCCGGCGACAGCCAGACGTTGTCAGGGGCAACCAGCTCTCCCAGTATGGCCGACGAGGTCGTCGCGACGCCGTCAAAAAAACGATCACTTCCGGGTCGTTCTTTAAGCCTGGAAGAAGACCCGTCCAAGCGGTCTTTGTATCTCTCTAACCGTCGCTGCTCTCTAGGGGACATGATACGCGCCTCCCAGGGGACCGACAGGGCGCGGCACAAACGCCACTCCCTCGGGGACGCCCTGAACATCTACCGTCACCGCCGCAGCATCACCGATACCTACCTGGGCACCGGCATCGACGAGGAGTCGGAGGACGACTACGACAGCAACCAGGCCATCCTGACCGTCGTGTCGCAGAGGTCGGCCGGCAAGAGGACCGACGTCAGGGATTTGTTCAAGCGCAGGAAAAGTTCCGGCACGCACCTGTTCTTCGGCACGGAATCGGAACTTTCCGAAAACAGCAGCGCCGCGGATGAAGCTAAAGCTTGATCCATTGTTTGGAACCAGAGGCGTAGCGGGGGGGGGGGGGGGGGGAACATATGTCCCCGGGCGCCGACCTTAGGGGGGGGGGGCGCCAAATTGAAAGTTTGAGGGGGGGGGGGTGGGGGAGCAAATGAAAAGTTCGAGGAGGAGGTGCAAATCGAAAGTTTGAGGGGGGGGGGGGGTGTAAATGAAAAGTTCGAGGGGGGTGTGCAAATCGAAAGGGTCGCTACGCCTCTGTTTGGAACAGCTGATGTCGGGGGTGCAGCTGTGAAAGATCAACTATGTATAAAGATGCCTTAAATAATATATATATAAATATTTTCTTTTCAGTTAAATTGACTATAAATATACTTTTTTGTAACATAAATCAAATCAAATGACCATCCCTACACTTATTATAAAACATATCAATACCGAGAATCGAAGCTTGTATATACTGGATATCCTATGCCTATTTAAGGATACAAACATTTTCCACTGTTCTTAAATAAAACTGTTGAGAATCACCCTATGAATTATTGAAATAAACATACATATTTTGTAGTTTTTGTTTCAAATCTTAGTGAGAAAAATACGTGCAATGGTTTTATTTAATGTTTTTTTTCTTCAAATATAGTAGACCTATAAACAAGTAAGTGTAGCACTGGGTAGTCGAATGGTGCAGCGTTCGACTGATAATGTGAAAGTCTCGAGTTCGAATCCGGGTTCAAGTCCGTAGAATGTCCACCCGGTCCTGACCGACGTTGAGGAAAGAAAACTCGACCACTTTTCCTTCACATGCCAAGGTCACAGAATCAGAAGTGAACTCTACTAGCCCGATGTCAGGTTCAAAAGGGTACTCACATTATTAGCATAGTCTGACATAACTAATTAAATGTGTAGGTTTTATTTATTTATTATACTTAGAACATTTATTCTGCAGCCCAATATTGACACACTGATTGTTCTTGTGAAACCCAAAATAATTCACATATAAATACTGTCCACTGTAAATACACATTTTTGTATATTAAAGTTTCGTGCTGAAATGCTAGTGCCACTAGAAATCTCCCATCATGGGTATTGACAGACAGAGTTGTTATTTTGTTAGGGGGGGCAGGGGGTACATATGTCCCCGGGCGCCGACCTTAGGGGGCGCCAAAATGGGTTGTAAAAACAAATTAAAATTTGTAATTTTAGCTGCATTTTTGCATTATAAATAGTTTGAGGGGGGGGGGGGTGCAAATCGAAAGTTTGAGTGGGGGGGGGGGGGGGGGTGCAAATCCAAATCGAAAGTTTGCTCCAAATTGAAAGTTTGTCCCCGGGCGCCGGGAAGAGTCGCTACGCCTCTGGGTTAGTAAATCTGTACGTACAATAAATGTCAGCGAGGAGATCAATAGATCTGTAAATTATCTGAAAGGTTATCCCATCCCTACTGCCACCCACAACCTTGCCAACATGCACAGATGTGCCTGGAGTACATTGTGTCGTCTACGTGAGCTCTTGTTTAGATATTGAGTGTACCACATTCAGCCAAACCACACACCCACACCATAGTACTTTAACAAAGTAAAGCCACACGCAACATTCTATTGTACCACATTCATTCAAGCCACACACCCACACCATAGTACTATAACAAAGTCAAGCCACACACAACATTCTACTGTACCACATTCAGCCAAACCACACACCCACACCATAGTACTTTAACAAAGTAAAGCCACACACAACATTCTATTGTACCACATTCATTCAAGCCACACACCCACACCCTAGTACTTTAACAAAGTAAAGCCACACACAACATTCTATTGTACCACATTCATTCAAGCCACACACCCACACCAGAGTACTTTAACAAAGTAAAGCCACACACAACATTCTATTGTACCACATTCATTCAAGCCACACACCCGCACCATAGTACTTTAACAAAGTAAAGCCACACACAACATTCTACTGTACCACATTCAGCCAAACCACACACCCACACCATAGTACTTTAACAAAGTAAAGCCACACACAACATTCCACTGTATCAAATTAGCCAAATCACAAACATACACAAACGTATTGTAACACACCAAACAAACATAACACTCTACTGATTGGTCGGCGGAGTTCACATATCTCTACATAGAAGTGGTGACGAAAATAAATGTGGTGTTACCTCATGTAGTTGGAAGTGTCACATTAGGCCATGGTGTCTCCTGTCCTGGAAGTGTCACATTAGGCCATGGTGTCTCCTGTCCTGGAAGTGTCACATTAGGCGGTGGTGTCTCCTGGAAGTGTCACATTAGGCCGTGGTGTCTTCTGTCCTGGAAGTGTCACATTAGGCGGTGGTGTCTCCTGGAAGTGTCACATTAGGCCGTGGTGTCTTCTGTCCTGGAAGTGTCACATTAGGCGGTGGTGTCTCCTGGAAGTGTCACATTAGGCCGTGGTGTCTTCTGTCCTGGAAGTGTCACATTAGGCCGTGGTGTCTCCTGGAAGTGTCACATTAGGCCGTGGTATCTCATGGAAGTGTCACATTAGGCCGTGATCTCTCCTGGAAATGTCACATTAGGCCGTGGTTTCTCCTTGAAGTGTCATATTAGGCCGTGGTATCTCATAGAAGTGTCACATTAGGCCGTGGTATCTCATGGAAGTGTCACATTAGGCTGTGGTGTCTCCTGGAAGTGTCACATTAGGCCGTGGTATCTCATGGAAGTGTCACATTAGGCCGTGGTATCTCATGGAAGTGTCACATTAGACTGTGGTGTCTCCTGGAAGTGTCACATTAGGCCGTGGTATCTCATGGAAGTGTCACATTAGGCCGTGGTATCTCATGGAAGTGTCACATTAGGCTGTGGTGTCTCCTGGAAGTGTCACATTAGGCCGTGGTATCTCATGGAAGTGTCACATTAGGCTGTGGTGTCTCCTGGAAGTGTCACATTAGGCCGTGGTGTCTTCTGTCCTGGAAGTGTCACATTAGGCCGTGGTATCTCATGGAAGTGTCACATTAGGCCGTGGTATCTCCTGGAAGTGTCACGTTAGGCCGTGATCTCTCCTGGAAATGTCACATTAGGCCGTGGTGTCTCCTGGAAGTGTCACATTAGGCCGTGATCTCTCCTGGAAGTGTTACATTAGGCCGTGATCTCTCCTGGAAATGTCACATTAGGCCGTGGTGTCTCCTTGAAGTGTCACATTAGGCCGTGGTGTCTCCTGGAAGTGTCACATTAGGCCGTGGTGTCTCCTTGAAGTGTCACATTAGGCCGTGGTGTCTCCTGGAAGTGTCACATTAGGCCGTGGTATCTCATGGAAGTGTCACATTAGGCCGTGGTATCTCATGGAAGTGTCACATTAGGCCGTGGTATCTCCTGGAAGTGTCACATTAGGCCGTGATCTCTCCTGGAAGTGTCACATTAGGCCGTGGTGTCTCCTGGAAGTGTCACATTAGGCCATGGTGTCTCCTGGAAGTGTCACATTAGGCCGTGGTGTCTCCTGGAAGTGTCACATTAGGCCGTGGTGTCTCCTGGAAGTGTCACATTAGGCCGTGATCTCTCCTGGAAGTGTCACATTAGGCCGTGGTGTCTCCTGGAAGTGTCACATTAGGCTATGGTGTCTCCTGGAAGTGTCACATTAGGCCGTGGTGTCTCCTTGAAGTGTCACATTAGGCCGTGGTGTCTCCTTGAAGTGTCACATTAGGCCGTGGTGTCTTCTGTCCTGGAAGTGTCACATTAGGCCGTGGTGTCTCCTGGAAGTGTCACATTAGGCCATGGTGTCTCCTGGAAGTGTCACATTAGGCCGTGATCTCTCCTGGAAGTGTCACATTAGGCCGTGGTGTCTCCTGGAAGTGTCACATTATGCCGTGGTGTCTCCTGGAAGTGTCACATTAGGCCGTGTAGTCTCCTTGAAGTGTCACATTAGGCCATGGTGTCTCCTGGAAGTGTCACATTAGGCCGTGGTATCTCATGGAAGTGTCACATTAGGCGGTGGTGTATCCTTGAAGTGTCACATTAGGCGGTGGTGTATCCTTGAAGTGTCACATTAGGCCGTGGTATCTCATGGAAGTGTCACATTAGGCCGTGATCTCTCCTGGAAATGTCACATTAGGCCGTGGTTTCTCCTTGAAGTGTCATATTAGGCCGTGGTATCTCATAGAAGTGTCACATTAGGCCGTGGTATCTCATGGAAGTGTCACATTAGGCTGTGGTGTCTCCTGGAAGTGTCACATTAGGCCGTGGTATCTCATGGAAGTGTCACATTAGGCCGTGGTATCTCATGGAAGTGTCACATTAGACTGTGGTGTCTCCTGGAAGTGTCACATTAGGCCGTGGTATCTCATGGAAGTGTCACATTAGGCCGTGGTATCTCATGGAAGTGTCACATTAGGCCGTGGTATCTCATGGAAGTGTCACATTAGGCCGTGGTATCTCATGGAAGTGTCACATTAGGCTGTGGTGTCTCCTGGAAGTGTCACATTAGGCCGTGGTATCTCATGGAAGTGTCACATTAGGCCGTGGTATCTCATGGAAGTGTCACATTAGGCTGTGGTGTCTCCTGGAAGTGTCACATTAGGCCGTGGTGTCTTCTGTCCTGGAAGTGTCACATTAGGCCGTGGTATCTCATGGAAGTGTCACATTAGGCCGTGGTGTCTCCTGGAAGTGTCACATTAGGCCGTGGTGTCTCCTGGAAGTGTCACATTAGGCCGTGATCTCTCCTGGAAATGTCACATTAGGCCGTGGTGTCTCCTGGAAGTGTCACATTAGGCCGTGATCTCTCCTGGAAATGTCACATTAGGCCGTGGTGTCTCCTGGAAGTGTCACATTAGGCCGTGGTGTCTCCTTGAAGTGTCACATTAGGCCGTGGTGTCTCCTTGAAGTGTCACATTAGGCCGTGGTGTCTCCTGGAAGTGTCACATTAGGCCATGGTGTCTCCTGGAAGTGTCACATTAGGCCGTGGTGTCTCCTGGAAGTGTCACATTAGGCCGTGGTGTCTTCTGTCCTGGAAGTGTCACATTAGGCCATGGTGTCTCCTGGAAGTGTCACATTAGGCCGTGGTG